AGAAGTCTGTGGTATGTACGCTCGCTCCGCGGGTTCGCGCATGCGCGATACGAAGCGCCGTTTTACTGGCCGCTCGCGTCTGTGACATGCGCATTCTAGTGCTCGATAGAATGGGTGATCTGCGCCGGCGCGTTTCTCACCTATTCCTTACAGCTCGGCCGTTCTGGCCTTCAACTTACGTCGCGTAGTTGCGGGCGCTCCGCAGCGGTTCTCAACTCGTGGGTCCCTGTCACAGGGTAAGTGTATTTACTCTCTCCTTCTTCCGTGAGTGTATCTTTTCCTTGGATTTCTTATACTAGTCGCGCGCTGTATGTTATATTTAGGTTAGGCCTATTTCTTAATTCTAACTTAATTCTACTTAACACTACTTGCTCTCAGCCGGGATCACAAGGGACGGATGAGTACCCTTACTCGCGATACGCAGTAGCGTTACGTCGTGTGGTATCTCGTCGGCTTGCGGTTCTGGCTCAGGTAATTTCAGATTCACTTATCTGATTTCGCTCGCGTAGACCTAATTCTAATTTTCGGTTTTAGCATCGCCGATCCGTATCCAGGGCTTCAACCTGTCGGAGGAAAGGATCGTGTCAAGGGGCTTTTGGGTGTGGCTGAAACCAGGTATGTCCCTAACCACGTATCGGTTGTTCCCCAAGACTTTAGCTATTTGGTACGGTCCTTTATAGCCGGGTTTAATCTTAGTACTTTCGCCGGGTTTATTTCGGTCGTTCCTAATCAGTACATAATCGCCGTCGCGGTAAATCGACGGTTTTTTGTGTCGGCTGTCGAAATACTTTTTATTATATTCTCGCAAGAGTTTAGTCGCAGCTTGCGCTGAATCTCTACTTAATTCTCTTTCTTTTTGCAGATCAGATTCCGTTTCCGCCAGCGCTTTCGTGAGCTGAGCGAGCGCGAAATCTGAGTGGTTCCGCTGGTCGTAGCCAAGCAGCAACTTAGCTGGAGTGGTTTTCACGCTTGAGTGGTGAGTATTATTTATTACATATTGAATCGTGCCTAATTTCGGTTTCCACTCAGCCGGCTCGACAATCAATTTAATGAGTGACGTTTTTATAAATCGATTCACCCGTTCGACTATGCCGTTAGCCCACGGGGCGGCCACGGCTACTTTTCGGTGTTTAACCCGAATCCTTTCCGCGAAGTCCGCGAATTCTTTCGAAGTGAACGCGGTTCCCCTGTCTGAAATCAATTCTGTCGGTCTGCCGAATGTATTAAAAATTTCGTTTAAATAATTTATTGCCTCTTTAGACCCTGTGGACTTTGTAGCATGCAGCCACGTGAACCGGGTGAACGCGTCGACCGCTACTAACACGTGCCGGAATCCGTCGGCGGACTCGGGCAGTGGACCGAGGTGGTCAACGTGCACCGCTTCCATCGGCGCGGCAGGAAGCGGGGCAAGTTGCGTTTCGCCCTCGAGCCTATTCGATGCACTGTTCGCCATCACACAGGTGAGACAATTTTCTACATAATTATGGATTTCTTCCGCATAGATGGGAACCAGAAGTTCTCCGCGATTCCCTTATAAGTCTTTTCCGGTCCGCAGTGCGCCATCTCATCATGGTGCGCTCTGATCAAGCTTGTAATTAGTGAATCGGGCACAACGAACTTCTTCTGGTTCTCATCTTTTTTGTATACAAGACCATTAATTAAATCGAACTTTTTGTCCTCGCTTAATTCTAATTTCTTGCTGATCTCCAGAATTCTCGGGTCAGTCAGCTGTCTGAGCTCCAACTCCCGTTCGAGCGGCATTTCGTGCACATAGGCCGTGCATCTGCTCAAGGCGTCTACGTGTGCCATGCGCTTGCCCGGACGGTGAGTCACACTGAACCTATAATTCTGGAGCATCAGCGTCCATCTCGCTATCCGCGGATTGAGGTTCGCCTTGTTCATCGCGTATACTAGCGCGTTGCAATCCGTCACTATGGCGAACTCCAACCCGTAGAGGTAGAGATGGAAACGCTCGACTGATCTTACGATTGCCAGCATTTCCAGCTCGTAGCTGTGGTAACGTTTCTCGGCTTGATTCGTGCCTTGACTATAGTAAGCGACGGGAGACCATAAATTATTTTTCTGTTTCTGCAGGAGGATCCCTCCCAGGCCCGTACTACAGGCGTCAGTGTGCAGTTCTGTCGGCGCGGCCGGATTATATAACTGCAGCACCGGAGCTGAGGTCAGTTCCTGCTTTAATTTTTTGAACGCTTCGACGCAACGGTCGTCGAAGTTGAACGGTACGTCTCGCTTTACCAAGTCCTGTATTGGTTTTGCAATGTGCGCGAATCCCTTTATAAATCGCCGGAAGTAATTGGTTAATCCTAAAAATCTCTGGACTTCTAACACGGTTCGCGGTTGCTTAAAATTTCGGATCGCGTCCGTGTGCCTAGGGCTCAAGCTGATTCCGTCGGCGGATATCATATACCCTAAAAACTCTATTTCCTTTTTCAGGAATTGACATTTCTTATAATTTAATTCGAAGCCGTACCTTCGGAGAATCTGAAGGACCTCCCGTAGATCCTCTAGATTCTGCTCATTTGAACGGGACGCTATTAGTACATCATCCATGTATATCAAGACTTTATCGTCGCGGATCAACGGGCGGAGAATCTGTATTAAGCGCTTCTGGAATTCAGCGGGAGATTCACAGAAGCCAAAAGGCAATCGCGTGTATTCGTACTGCCCGTCCGGCGTCGCGAAGGCAAAGTACTTGGTCGAGTCTTTCTCCACTTTTATTTGGTGGAAGCTATCTTTTAAGTCTAGCAGTGTAAATATGGTCTTGTCGCTTAGCCTAGTCAAGCACTCCTCAATTACCGGAAACGGGTATTTCTGCCGTTCGACTCTCGCGTTCAACGGCCTGAGATCGATGCAAAGTCTCATCTGCCCATTTCGTTTCCGCACAGGCACCACCCGGGCGCAGTACGGTGAAGTGCTCGGCTTAACGATTCCGCGGGCTAAGAGATCGTCGACGACTTCTCTTATTTGGAGTCGCTCCGCGTACGCGAATCGTCTCGGCGAGAAGGAATACGTCGAGGTATCCTTCAGCCGAACTTGAACCTCGTACCCGTCATCTACAGGTACGCATTCCTTTGTTCGTTCGTTTATGATTACCTCCTTCAATTTTCGTTTGTCTGTTTCGTCCAAGTCTGTACTGTTTTTGTCGATCGTCTCCTCTAGAGACTCTGGAATGTTTGATTCCACGCACAAGGGAAGTTGGGCAAACAACCTGACGTTTTCCCTCTCACCTTGACTCGTCGGCTTGAAGATCAGAGTGAGTTTATGTTCTTTTAGGAATTCTCTACCGAGAATAATATCTCCTTCGAAAGTGTTCTCCTTGAGAACGTGTAAATTTACTTCGAGAGCTCTATTCGGTATTAATGGTAAACTCACTCTGGCCTTAACGGTCCCGACGACTTCTAATGTTTGATCGCTTAGGTTTCTAAGTCGATTTTTATACGGGGCTAACTTTAAATTTAACGGCTTTATCCACCGCTCATAAACACTAAATTTCGCGAATGACACAGGGCTTCCTGTATCCACCAACGCTAGTAAGTTACATCGCTCACCGTTGATGTTTTCTACTCCTACCAGAGGATCGGTGATCTCTAGGCTGTTCCTTGGCTGCTCCACCGATGCCACGACCTCGTCCGCTGATGACGGCTCCTGCGTCACGCTCGCCGCTGCTTTGGCCGTTGCGGACGACGTTCCCGGCTTCTCATCCTTGCGCTTCAGGGCCGGACATTCGAACCGCCGATGCCCCTTCTTTTTACAGTAAAAGCAGGTCGGCTCTGCTTGGCAGTCCTTTGTCCCATGGCCCTTGCCTCCGCAGTTCCTGCAGGGGGCCTCCTTGGACTTAGCGCTCGTTCCAGGCGGCGTCGATTTCCGCTCCGTGTCCACTACCCCTTCCGCGATGACTCTCATCCTCTCCAGGAAGCGGTTTAGCGGGTCTGTGGCCATGGACAGCGCTGTCGCCTTTACCGCGCTGTTTGTGATACCGCCAATCAGGAGCTGAATACTGTCCTCCTCCGGTAAGTTGAGCACTTGGATGAGTGCTAACTTCTCTATGGCGTATCTGTCGAATGATTCTTTGCCCGGCTGCCACTTCCGGGCTTCGATCTTCTGCATAGACTTGTAAAATGGTACCCTCCTCTCAAACATCTTCTTCATTTCTAGGCGCAGTCCAACCCAGGACTCTATGGCTGCTCCCGTCTGGAGCTCGTACCATCTACGAGCGGATTTGGTCAGCCTGCTCGAGGCTGCCAAGAGCGTGGCCCCGTCCGACGCTCCGTGAACTTGGGCGACCTTGTCCACCCGATTCGCCCAAGCTTGGACGTTGTCGTCCTCTCCTCCAGCGAACTCCGGTATCTGCTGCGAGAGGTAATTCACCAGACTTCCCATCGGTAGACTGCTTCCGGAACTTTGGGCCGCCAACGGGCTGCCTATCGGAGTCGTTCCTGGCTCCGTCCGCGCGGCTTCCGGGGGTTCGTCTCTTCTGGTCTGGTTTCCATTATTTAGCGCTAACAGCATTAACCGTTCAAATTGCTCCTGTTGAGCCGCTCTCTGCCTCTCGAACTGCTCTTGCTGCCTTTTTTCAGCCTGTTCCCTCTTTCTCTCGGCCTGCTCCAGCATCCCCTGTACGGACTGCAGCACCTGTTGCAGCAGGACCGCGGGAACTTGCTCGACGGAGCCGGTCGAACCTTTCCTTGGTTTACCGGTCGTCGAAGCTTTGGCTGCCTCATCATGCAAGTCATGCGGCCCCTGTTTCTCGAGGTGACGCATGATGTTTTGAATTAGCGCGTCCCGGTCACCCGTAACGGCCAAACCGTATTTATTTGCCTCTTCCTTCAATTGTTCCAGGGAGAGGCCCTCGAATTTAGCTTTCTCCATGGCTAAATTTCTGCGGGTCTTTACCATACGGCCCGAAGATTCTCTCAGCCCTCTTTGAGGCGGGAAGTGAGTGGGAATCCCACTTCTGAAATCTGAAAGGATAGTGCCGAGGAAAATCGCTCAGGATAGCAGGTTGGGCGGTTTCGACTGAGAGAAACTAATTAGATTCGTAGCACTAGTCAACGTTGTATATATTTAACAAAATAAATTGATAGTACAAGAATTTACAAACTACTTAACCGACACTTTGACGGCGAAATATAAGCTCGCGCGCGAGACTACGAAGACTCTCGAGATACTCCTGGTTTTTGCTACCTTCTGCCTGGGATCTCTTCTCGGAGGAGAGTGGAGTCCCCTTGTTCGCGCGTGGAGTATGTACGCTCGCTCCGCGGGTTCGCGCATGCGCGATACGAAGCGCCGTTTTACTGGCCGCTCGCGTCTGTGACATGCGCATTCTAGTGCTCGATAGAATGGGTGATCTGCGCCGGCGCGTTTCTCACCTATTCCTTACAAGATGTAATTTTATTTCGTTCTGTCTTTTACTAAAATATTATGAAGCTCTCTTCTATGTTCACCGATGACTTTATAAAGTTCTCCGAAAAACTGTTTGGCTCTTTGTTCCAGAAACGTATGTCTTCTTATAACTGCATCTAATTTGTCTTGTGCCTCTTCTATCTCGAGATCTTTTGCTTGTAGATCTGGCATCGAATCATGTATTTCTTTAATTTCGTTTCTTACGGTTTCTAACATTTTCATATAGTTGGCTTTCTCGGTTTTCAGATCTGACTTCATTTTTTTAATGTCAGACATCTCTTTCTGCAATTTGTCTTCACTCGGAAAAGATTTGATTTCTTCCTGCACTTTCTTCTTTTTCATGATTTCAGAACGAATACAAGAATCTATCTCGGTACACTGCTTCGTCAAAGTTTCCTTAAATATTTTTATCAAAGAGACCTTTTCTTCCATTATAGCCGTTACCTGTACATTCAAGAATTCTTTTTCCGGAAGCTTTAATTCAGCGAAATTTAGACCAACATCATTATCACTATCCATGAAGACCTTTTTATTATGGGCTAATATTGCTTTATTAAGACTATTATTGAGGTTCGCTAATTTGATATCCAAAGTGTACGCTTCCTTTTGGTAATCTTTCAAGTGCTCGTCAAATTGGTGTATGTAGTTTTGAATCTCCGTGCACTCTTTAACGATGCTTTCCTTTTCAGCCTTAGACATTGGTTGATTCTTCATAATTGAATGCAATTCTTTGTACTGTATGTTTCCTTTCTGAATTTGTTCATTCAAAGCTTTACATTCTGTATTTAATTGTTGTGTCTCGGAGCAAAGCTTACTTATATTATCCTCCGTGGCTTTAATATGGTCTAATTTTTGAAGTTCTTTGGCTTGCAAAAGCGCTAATTTTTGCTGTAGCCGTTCAATCTTTTTATCATATTCTATTGACTCTTTTTCATGCATTTGTAGCTCAATTACTTTCTCTTCCAATTCTTCATGCGCCTGAGCTAAATCGTTCTCGGTAATGCCTTGCTGAATTACAACATTCTGCAGATATTGCTCCAATATTTCCGCCTCATCATCAAGTTTTTCGTCATTCCAAGCTTTGTAGCACTCCAACAGTGTTTGAAACTCCATGTTGAAACTTGCCTCCTGTTGCTGCGTTCCTACGTACGGCAAAGTTTCCAGTTGGTATCTCTTGATCGCGAGTTCTTTCACCTGGCACGCTTCCACCAGCCAGCTGATCCAACCAAGAGCATAGGGCCACGAGTGCATCGTATTGGCAGTCTTCAGCCATGATTTTGTCATCGTACCGGGGTAGTGTAGCTTCTTCGCACATTTCGGTAATTCATCTGTGTAATTTGTCATTGTGAGATCATGCTTGACATCCAAGTACTTCAGTAAGAAGCTGGAGACCTCCATGAACATCTTCAATGTAATCGGCTTCAAACTGCCGTTGCTGTTTAGCATCGTCGAGCACTGATTTACATAAAAGAACGAATCTATCTTGTTTAGCAGAGCTATCTGATAAGCCTTGTCCGTTAGAGGCCTTGTATCCTTCCTGGGACCCTTAGTTCCCACGCTGCTAGCACGGTCGCCAGACGGCGATCGATCAGTTGACAACGGTGCGTGAAGTCTGTTGCAACTTGATGTAAACGCTGCGCTTGGCGCACTAAGCTTGGTGGAGAGTCTCACTGGGGTACGCGTTGGAGTTGTCGGTTGCTGTAGTGGAGTTCTGCCTGCACATACATACATAATTTAAATGGAAATCGAAACGATCTCGAATTAAATAAAGTTAAATCTTGGCTTTGTCGAAGACACGTTTCTATCCTGTGTTGGCTCATACCAAGTAGTTAGAAAAAAATAGAAATTATGAGCGCCTTTTCACCTGTCATTTTCAAATAAGATTTTCTGCCGAGAGATCCCGCTCGGTCGCTGGAGGACCTTCGAAAACGAGCCCTGGGTATATGGGAAGTTTCACCGGTCGAGATTCCCTTCGGTTTCAACGTCTGAGTCCTTCGTTGATCATTCCGAGGAAAGTTCTTGTCCTCCCGTTCGATCGTGGATTTCCTTACGGGATTACTGGACGATCTTCGTCGGATCGAACTCGGTTGCATGGTTGTGTTTTCGCGAGGAAGGAGCAAAAGTACGAAACCTGCAAGCGTGCTACCACGTGCTACCTCCTACGAGACCAGTCGAAGGGGTCGAAGGAATTTGAATCTTCAGTTGTTTAACAACGTCCAGTAGTGTCCAATGCAAGGCGGCAAAATTCTCTAGCACGTTCACTCACTTTGGCCAACTTGAGCGTCAAAATACTAGAGTCCTGTCGATTGGCTATAAGCAAATGGACCAATCAAATTCGTTATGCATATGCTTATGCCTCTGATGCATAGCATGAAAACCGTTTGAACCAATGAACATCGAGCATTGAGTCGCCATATTGATTTACATAACATGCTCATTGGTCCAGACAGAGTTTGTCCTTTTCTACGCGAGCCTCTACCCCCCCCCCCCGTTGCTCAATGCGCGATCTAGATATATTATGTCTATGGTTCCTCTGTGATCGCACGCTGTTCGAGGGGGCGCGCGGGCCGTTCAATCGCGTCCGCGGGCGGTGCGCGCAACGCAGGGAGAGAGAGCGGAGAGACGATAGCGCAGCGAGCGGTACCACAGCCGGGCATGCGGAGGAGCGCGAAAGCGGAGCGGCGAAAGCGCGCGCGGCGCCGCGAGATTTCGCCCCCGTTCCCGCCACCGTCGTTCTCGTCGTCCTCGCTTTCCTCGCCCTCTCGCACCCTCCGGCGAGTAGTCCCCGTCGTCCGCCACCGTCGTCGTCGGCCGCTCGGCGCGGCAGCGGCGGAGTAGAGACAGAGAGCTCGACCGACGTGACGCGCGACGCGCTCCGAGCTCCGGCGGCGCCGAAGCCCGTCCCGTCGCGCTGGTCGCTATCATCGCCCCGTGTACTCGCGCGCACGCACGCACGCACGCACATGCACGCACGCCTGCGTTCGTAGCGCTTCGTGCTCGTTCGTACGTACGCTCGCTCGGTGCTCCCGCTCGCGGTCGAGAATGACATATCGCGACGCGCGGGTGACGCGCGACGACCACGCACGCACCGGGAGGAGCGTCGCCGAGCTGGAGCAACGCGGCCGCGACGGCTGAGGAGGGAAGAGCGCGCGGGGAGCTCCGCCACGGACGATGGCAATCTCCAACTGGATGATGTGGGGTAGGAGCCTACGCACCGGCCGATCCCGTCGAAGTGCGTTGCACGGCTATTCGAAACTCGCTCGCGCGACGATACCGTAGCGCCCGGGCGCAATTCACGTCTCCTCTCCTCGCGTCTTTCTTTTCTGATTGCAGGCCGCCAAGACGAGGACAACTGCGTGCAGCTCGACCTGTCGAGAGGTTAGTAACCTAACCTACCGCCTGCCCGCGCTCTCGGTTCGCAGTCTCTAGGCTGCGTCGACGAGAGACGGTCGCGATTTCTCGGGTGATTTCCATGTATTTATTTACCTTTCGCCCGGCGGGCGCGATGTTGCGCAACGTCGCCGTGTCTCGGTCCCGAGAGCGGAGCACGTCGTTTCCCACGTTTCCCACGAGCGAGAAATTGCGGATACCTTTCGACGTCGAATGATACGAATCTCAAGCCATTCGAGAGTCTGGAATGTATCCGTGCGCTCGGCACCCGATCGAAAAGCGGAGGTGGTCAAGGAGAGACGGTATCTAGGACCAACTGGTCGATTCTACTTCAAACCTTGTCCCGTCGATCAGATCAGTCCGCGTGAGATTGTTGCGTAAATTGTACCTTAGCTAACTGGCCCTCCTCTGCCTCAAGATGCGCGAGACGCGACTATCGTTGTCTTCACTCACCAAGTTTTTTACTGGAAGAAACTATTTGTGCTTTGTAGGACTAAAGGAGAACGTTAAGGAGGTCTTGACTAATCTTTGCCAGCGGCACAATGTTCCAAGCGTAAAGAAGCTAGCGTATCTCAATGCTATAGTTAAGTTGATCAGCGAAACCGACTCCCCAGACTATGGTTACTCCGCGGAGGATCTGTTCTGTTGGTAAGAGTCCACCGGCGATTGTAGGTCTGTCCAATTATCAGGCCTTACCTTGGTTTTCACCAACGTTGTTTAACTTCAAGCTTAATTTGTTCTTTGTCTCTTGCCAACTGTTACTCAGGAAAGAGACAAACATGAGTTGAACTAAGATTAAAGTTAAGCGACGTTTGGTGAAACTGGGCCTCAAACGTTTTAATTTCTCTTAGTTTATTTCTAAGAGAACGGAAAGAAACAAAGGACGATACTGTTATCTTATATTCAAGACCGTCTTGAATTTATTTAAAAACGCTGTATGGAACATTTCACTGGCTATGGAGTATCTAAAGACGATCTTGAATATAAGATTTGACTATGAATACCGGCCTTAGAGAGGCCATTGTCAGTTACCGGTCGCAAAAACGTTCTCTCTCTTTTTTTTTTATAGTCTACGCGTGGCGCTGGTCCACGAGGCGACGCAGGTGCGCGCCGCCGCGCTGCGGGCGGTGCGCTACATGCTCAAGAAGGAGCAGGATGTCGTCGCGATCAACAGGCTGCAGTACCCGTACTTCGTGGCGCGCAGCATGGACGTTAACCTGCGCAACGAGATGGAGCGGATACAAGCACTCCGGCTCGTCAGGAGGATCCTAGTGTTAGCCCCCAAGCATTTCAGTTCCGTGCTAGCGAGATCGCTCGTCAGTTTGACGAACGGCGGCATCGAAGAGAGGGAGCGTGCGTTTAAAGCGTTTCTAGCGGTCCTGTGCGAGCTGGGCGTCCTGAACTCGAATCTGCTGATAAGCTGCGGCGGCATCGCCACGCTGGCCAGGGCCGCGATGACCGGGCAGTGCGGCGTCGTGGTCGAGTCCGTCGTCGGGGTGCTGCTGCGGCTGCTCAACAATCCCGACACGCGCGGCAGCGTCTCCCTCCTGTGCTTCGCCGCGCCCTACTGCGAGCTCCACTCCCTGAGCATGGAGAGAACCAAGGAGGAGCGCGAGCAGAGGTTCGCCGCCAGCAAGCTCGCCCTGCTGAGCATCCTGCGCTCGTATCCGGGCGTTCTCCACTTTTGCCGGTCGGACAATAATTCGGGCCTCAAGGCCATCGCGGATATTCTATACGTGGACCAACTGGAGGTGCGCGGGGCCGTTCTCGAACTGCTCTACGAGCTGCTGGACCTGCCGTTACCCACGTGGACTGACGAACCGGACGTCGCGCTGGCCGCGGTGGATCCCAGCAGATCGCGGGACTCGTGGAAACTGTCGGAGGGCTTCGTCGCCGCCGAGGGGAAATCCATACTGCCATCCCTGTCGTCGCACACGCCCAACGTCACGGAGATACACTCGGCGTTGCTGGTCTACGTTCTACTCGAGTGCGGCCTGCACCGCGCCCTCGCGGAGACCATCGTTTCCAGCGACACGTTCATTTCGGTGCGCGCGGCGGTGCTGCTGGGCGCGTTGCTGCACCTCGCGCATTCCCTCCTGCCGTCCGAGCTCTGCGACCTCACGCCGCCACTGCCTAATCTGCTGGAGCACGCGAGCGCCGGCAAGCATCAGGCGCTAGCGGCGGTCACCATCCTCGAGCGGATGCACACCATGATGCGGCGTAGACCGACCCCGGCGAGTCTCTTCCTCGACCGTATTCTTCAAGCGGGCACCTGGCTACGTCCGACTCTGCCGCGGCGTCAACGGCCGTCCGGCAGGCACTGGCTGCGAATCGGCAGGGAGTCGCCGATCACGCCTCTGCTCAAGGACGCGCAGGTGCTCAGCTCGAAGGATGCCCTCGCTTGGAACTGGCCGATCGTGCGGGCGATTCTACGCTCGCGCGAGGACGCGACGCGGATCCTTCACGATTCCGATCACCGGCTGTTTATGAAGCGACTCGTGCGCTACTTCAAACCGTCGTGTAACGGCTACAGCAGAGTCGAGCTGGGCACGAACGCGACGTTGGCGCGCGAGGCCACTCTCGCAGGCTGCGACCTGCTTAACTGTTTACTGGAGCTGCACGAGCCGGAGAGCGCGCGGCTGCTTAACGAGCTCATCGGCGACATCGCTGAGCACATCGGCAACATCCGCACCGCCGAGTCCGCGCACGATTGCCTCTTCTCGCCGCGTCACATGTCCACCACGTGTTGCCAGAAGTACTTTCTGTTTCTCGGCCAGCTGAGTCACTCCGCCAAGGGCACGGTGGTTCTCAAGAGCTTCAACCTGTTGGAGAAGCTGCAGGATCTCGCGCTGGCCACCAATCACGACTGCTACGTTAAGCTGATCGTGTCCAGCCTGGACTACTCACGGGACGGTCCCAACAGGAAGGTGCTGAGCAAGATCATCTCCGAGGCGACGTTGTGGAGCACGCGCCTCTACGCCACGCAGTTCCTACGGCTGATTCTCCGCGCCAGAATGACGGACGCCGTGCGCTGGGCAATGGCACTGCTGGCGGATCGATTGTCGGACAGCCACACAGCCGTGGCGCTGGCCACTCTGGAGGCGCTGCACGAGGCCTGCGACGAGACCGAGTATCTGGAAGCGTTGTTGCAGCAGGGCGGGCAGTCGCGCGATTGGGACAAGTGGCTACAGCACCTGGGTGACAAGGGCTACCTGCTCAAGATCCGACTTTACTCTCTGCAGCAAGGCTTCACGAATCTCGCCGCACCCTCCGAGGAGCTGGAGAAGTGGATCGGACCCGGCGGTTTCGCCGAGCGATACGTGGGCCTCGTGGAAGGGGAGATACACGACGCGCTGACGTGCCGACAACGCGACGAGACCGGGAGCTACCAGAGGAGGCCCAGCAGCGACATGGTGATGATGCCGCGCGACGTCTACGTGCCGCCGCATCTCATCGGCCAGCTGGCGCAGCACGATCTGGGGATGCAACTGCTGTTGCGTCGCAACGTGATACAGCGTTTCGCTCGGGTGTTGCAGCGATTCAAGCTGGAATTTGGCGGTCGCGATTCGGAGTCCAACTCGCGGTGCACCAGGTCGAGTCGTCTCGCCGCTATGGCAGCAACGACGGCAGCCGCCGCCGCCGCCGCCGCCGCTGCCGCTGCCGCCGCGGTCGACGACATCTGCATCATGTCGGAGGAGTCCGGCACGGACGAAGCCGTCGAGCAGTGCAGCCGCCTCGAGACCATTCCCGACTACGAGACGGTGGAGAACGAGGCTCGCGACACGGCGAGTCAGCCGCGGACGGAGTCGCTGATGGAGATCCGCCGTAAGACCAGCGTGGACGATTCCCGGCACACCACACCGGAGCGAAGCTGGAGGCTGGAGACCGAGTCGTCGCGCGACGACCACTTTGTCGGCCCGAACGGCGGTATTCTCAAGGTCAAGTCGGCTCTCTGGGCCCTCGGCCACGCGGGCACGTCCGTCGCGGGCGTCGAGCACTTGAGCCACTTGGGTATCATCGAGATGATCACGTCCATGGCGGAAACGTGTCCGTATTACTCGGTGCGCGCCACCGCGATGTACGCTCTCAGCCTGATCGGCACCACGCGAGCCGGCGCCGACACGTTGGTCAACTTCAACTGGCCATGCGTGAGGCATCGACGCGGCGACAACTGGCCCGTGGTGCCGCCCTCGACCAGGTATCCCATGCCGAGCCCGATCCCCGTGCAACGGCATCACCGTAGCCTCAGCGATGGCAAACCGGAGCTGCTCGAGCCAATCGTGCGCCGCACCAGGAATCGATCCGAGAGCGCGGCGACGGATCTCGAGGCGCGACGATACTTCCTTTCGTAAGTGAGGCGATTGAAAACGAGGACGCATATCGGGGGGAGCATCGGAATCATTTTAATCTAAAGTGGAAGCTTTTTTTTAACAGTCGAAATATCGTAGCTTGATAAAAGGAGAAATTCTTTGATTCTTCTATTTTTACTTAGAATTTAAGGAAAGATAATTTTGTGCTTCCTTCCGTTTTTTTTCAGAGAGAGAGGCGAAACCCCGAGTCCTGTTTCAAGTATTCAAAGACTAAGCCAACAAGATGCTGAAGGATATGCGCGACTACGTAGTTTACAACGCCATCGCAGACCGAGTTATTCTCAAAGTAGTTTAGAAGTACGCGAGAAGTCATGCCTACATCTTTGGAAACGCGATTCGAGCGACACGATAGACAACAAACGAGTCGTTCTCTTTGCAGATGTATAGCTTAGACGGCCGTCTCTCGCTGCAGAGCCTGTCGGAGTACGATTCGTCCCGCAGCTGGATTGCGGAGAATGCGGTTCTCACGCCGACGCCACCTCCTCCCGAGGACGACAACGAGAACACGTTTTACATGGGTGTTTGCCTGCCGAGGAAACTGCTCGCGATCTTCCCCGAGCCGCCTCAGCCGTCCCAGCCAACCATTCTCGAGGACAGCATCAGGTCCGAGTTGGAGACGACGGAGATCGACGAGGAGTCCAGCTCGGAGTGCGATGCCGATACCGAGCATTGCCGCACGTGTCTCGTTTGCTATCACGGCAAGAGCGGCAAGGACGCTGGTACGGACCAGGACATGAAATTGCGAAGGTAAACGAAAGGCGATCTTCTTGTATGTTAACGATAGAAAATTAATACAGTTGAGACGCGATAAAAAAAGAAATTGCTCAAATTCAATTCAGAAATTATGGTTTTTAAACGAAGGGAAAATTTTTTTCGAAAGTCGACCAGACTGGCAAAAGAGTGATCTTTATTTAAGTCACAACGTTTCGACCTCTTTATCGGGTCCTTTTCAAGTACAATCTGAAAACAAATTTCCTTTCTTTGTATTGCGGTTTGAGCGTTTGTAATTCGTTTCCAGATCGTACTTGAAAAGGACCCGATAAAGAGGTCGAAACGTTGCGACTTAAATAAAGATCGCTCTTTCGCCAGTCTGGTCGACTTTTTTGAAACAATTTTTCCTTTGTTTAATTACCACTGGCGACAATAAGCTTCACTCAATTATGGTTTTTAATTAATTAAAAATAACGTACTTTTTGTCAGCGACGCCTAAATGCGATTGATAAAAATTTTACGAGAGTTTAATGCCTAATTCGGTCGTGTTCGTACAGAGAGATACTTAGACACACTCAACGGCTCGCAAACCCCGTGTGGTACCGTCACAGTCGTCAATCGTTGCTTAGACTGAGGCAGCGGCATCCCGAGAAATTTCAGGTATCGTAACGCTCTGTCCCCGCCGTGTCTCGACACGCAGGAGTGTCTACATTATTCGCCTTTTTTTTTCAGGACACCTGCTTGTTCTCGGACGTGGCCGCTCGCCTCGGCAGCGGTACGTACAGAATGCAAGCGCGGCGATTTCTGCAAGAGCTGTTTCTCGACTCTCCGTTCGACGCGGTAAGTTCTTCCCGACGCACGCTCCTAACACTCGTGCAGTCGCACGACTCCCGTGCGATTGTCCGCGTCAGCGTTATTCTATAGTTGGCGTCGCGCGTAATCGGTTGAAGGAACCGTTAAAAATAAAGACTCGTTGAAGTACAATCATGCGAGACACTCGTTTCTGAACTTGTCAACTCTGTGCCGAGCTTGCTGCCTTTTTTTTAAAAGGTACAGGTTCGTTTTCTACACTGGTGAACTAGTGCAACATGTTGGAGCAAGACGAGTATACTTTTCTCACTCCAGCTTACTGCACTAGTTTACCAGTGCAATAGAAAACGAGCCTAGTATCTGTCTCCGGAAAAATAATGAGTGCGTCTTGTATTTATATCTAAAATCGAAGGAATTCAAGAAATGTAACTTGTATCTGTGGCTGCGGTCAAGCTGTCGCCTCAAATGTTTCAAAGTATTCTTCTTTCTTTCAGTAAAGCGTAGAAAGAGAGGAGAAACACTTCGAGGCGTTTGTAGCGGCAGCTTGACCGCAACCTGTATCCCTTCACTGAATAAATTGAAGATTTATCTTGTGTCTGTATCTTTGATGAAAGAAGTTGAGATATACCAAGCTCTGTCTCAGTGTGACGGTATTCATGAGTTAATAGCTATATCGGAACCGTCTATTATCGACGTCTCCTCGCTTTCCTAATTCACTTACACAAATATTATGCGCTTAATAAAATTAAAATATATAGATACGAGTAGCCTCCCCCTTTTCTCTTTGATTGTAAAGTAATTTGCGACCTTGCAGCTCTACGTCGAGCCAGTCAACATCCTGAAGATACCGATTGGCACGGAGGAGAATCCTCTGCAATCACCTGTTCCTAGCTCCGAGGCCAGCCCTCGGCAGCAGTCTGTAAGTCCTGCGGAGGGCAAGATTAACGGAAGACTTACTCTGACTGAGATACAAACGGCGCAACTGGCGTCGGTCGCCGAGGAGGGCTCCTCGGCCGGCGCCGGCGCCGGCGCCGGCGGCGAGTCGTGCAACGCGGGACATCAACGTAAGAAAAAGCTCCTGGAGACCGTGCGTTCGTCGCAGGAGCGGCGCAGCGACGAGAAGATCATAGCCGAGATCCTGATGCCGGAAGAGCGAATACGTTTGTCAAAGAGTTCCGATAGGTCTTTAAAAGTACCAGGTACAAACACTGCCATCAGCCTTGATTCGTAACTTTCGAATTCTCGACCGCGACTGCGCGCGTGCGTATGCAAATCGTGCGTATGTCATATGTGTACATATTTTGTATTAAAATGATGAGATATAAAAGTAACAAATTACACATATACACACACATATACACACATACACTGCCGGCAGTCAGACGTATTCTTATGCATATTTCAATGTTTCTTGTGCGCCTCGCGTCTATCTCCGCATAATTATTCGTTAACCCTCGGGATTACACGTGTTCTTGCGCACTCTCTTGGAGACAGCCGAATAGTTTTATCGCACGAGTCTCGTAAAATCGAGTTGGTCAACGAGATTCTTTTCCAAGGAAATGTCGGGTGTACAGCACGATTGTAAAATCAAAATTCAAGTCCGTTTGCCAAATTGAAAGATACAAACGTTTTGGGAGAAATGTTCAACGTAACGCCGACGAATTTTTCTCGAGCCTTGTAGACTTCTGTGTAGCCCGCGGGTTGATGACCGATTAATATTTTATATCTATATCGTATGTCCCCCCATTGTAACGTATCGCATTATTTTTTAACGTCGCAATCGACTTTTTTTTCTCTCTCTCTCTGCGAAGATGCGACGAGACCGTTGTAACGTTGCTAGTTTTATACTTAATATTACAATTTTATTTCTATTTATACGCATTAATTTATGTATCATGTATACGATGGAAAAATGGAGCAGGATGTGCGGAAAATCAACAAATGTCTACGTATCTCACGTGGAAACCCACCCAGCCTGTCGCATTCCTGGGGGCCAGTTCTGTATCTTGCACTACAGTAAAAAATGCTAAAAGTGACTAGCTTCGTCTCTTTCCAACCGTCCTCTCGGGACGAGACAAAACCGCTCACTTTTAGCATTTTCACATTATTGTTGTAAGACAATTGACCCCCTGACGGTCGACGTTATCGACGCTGCCGCCCTGAACTTCAAGACCCGCCCGCCGGACGGCGCGGCGATCGCCACGACGAATCTCTGTCTCGGAAGTCGGATGTCGCCGATCATTCGCGTCATCGCGCGTCGTCCATAATCATTTGTCGAGGGGACGCACGGGACACGGGCACGCCAGCGCGAGTAATTCGACGATGACAATGACGGCGAGCTCGAAGCAAGGCTCCAAGCGGTCCAAGTGGGCCCTGGACTTCGCGCACAGGTACGTAACCTAATCCGATCGCCGTCGCCGAGCGCACGTGCCGATTTGACGTATTTCGCATCGCCGACACGCGGCCACTCGCGCGCGCCAAGTATTAACGTCCGTACCTCCCCGTCGTACTTGCCGCGTCTCTTGTCGCGCAAATCCTCGCGACCGTCGACATTTCCACCCTCCCCTCGAGGAACGCCTCCCGGCTGCCTCGGCGCCTCGCGAGCGACTGTCAGTAAACGAAACGCCTTCCCCCTTCGCAGAACGAAGCAGGACAAGAGCGCGGAGATACCGTCTCCACCCGGGTACACACCTACCGGCTCCCTCTTTCACAATGTGGAGTACATGAGGGAGACCGACTCGAATCACCTGATAATAAAAAAGTCGTGGGACCTGGCGCTGGGGCCCCTCAAGCAGGTGCCTATGAACCTGTTCATCCTGTACATGGCCGGCAGCTCCGTCTCGATATTCCCCATCATGATGGTCGGTATGCTCATCATCAAGCCGGTCAAGGCGCTCTTCACGCTCCAGCAAAGTGAGTTTATCCGTAGATTGTCAGGCGTAAGCGCCCCCGCTCGCGTAAACATGCCGCTCTGTATAATCACATGTGCTTCCTCTGCTCAGCGTTCAAAGTGATCGAAGGTACACACGCGTGTGGACAAAAGTTCGTGTACTTCCTAGGACAGTTAGTGAATATCGCGTTAGCTCTGTACAAGTGTCAGTCGATGGGCCTGCTGCCGACGCACGCGTCCGACTGGCTGGCGTTCGTCGAGCCCCAGACGCGGGTGGAGTACTCCGGCGGGGGCTTCATGTACGTTTGATGATGCCAGCGGCTCGGTCAGGCGGCATCGTAAGTATTCGGCACATCGCGCGCGCCACAAAATGAGTTATAGCTTAATTATACCGCAAAGGACACGGTGCGTTGTCGTGCGTTTAAATATTGTTTATTAAAATAAACGTATGGAAAAATCAGAGTGGGCTTGTCTCTTTGTACATCGCATCGGCACATATATACAGACGTAGTAGGTACATCGGCGCGTCTCGTCGAGAGACCGAACGCTTTAAATCATCGTTAGACACGCGTTCCGTCTTCTAGCGCCGGAAGCGGAAGGCACACGCGCTACGGCCAGGCTACGGCTTCTTCTTATTCTCATCTAGAAACTGCAGCACTCGCTGGTACAGTTTCGCCGGTTCGTCCACTCGCGGCACCTGCGGCAAAACAAACAGGTCGCAGACTTGTTAGTAACTTTGTACATTGCGCTTCGGGCCGATTTGAAAGGAGACAGCGAGCGCGACGTAAAATTTAAGTATCGTCGTTTGCGTGAAGAGGGGAATCGCCGTAAGCTGCTTGCCTCTGTCGTGTACAAATTGTTCAAAGCTACCCTTATCTTATCGGACGTGCGTACCTCATAATTTTGGGCTATGTATATTCCGGCGTAGACTCCAATGCTCAGACTGACCTACAAGTCATTGTAACGTTACAACGCCGTACTCGAGGCCGTTCTCTGTATTTACATACCAGGAACCGAATCATGTTGAGGGTTCACAAAGCAGGCTCATTTAACCCGATGATCCTAGCTGCCGACGCGCAGGAGGCATTCAGACAGAAGTGCACTGAGCCACTGAGAAGCACACTCGAACGTTGAGAATAAAGAAAAGAGAGAGGAAACACGTTGATCGAAAACTGCTCGGAGCTGCTGGTGACTTTCGCGGCAGGAAGTACTCGGTCCGGTTAACTTTGTAACTAGATCTAGTTACGTTCTAACCGGAAGACGAAGGAGCGCGCGATTTTTGTCGCTTCTATACGAAAGACTCCCCGATTCGTATTTAGCGGCACTTCCTGCGATAAAAGAGGATTCAGAATATGGACCTACGTCTTTCACTATTTTTACATTTCGTTCGAGATGACAGAGATTAAATAAACCACAATACATGCACGTCCAACGAATCTAACAGCTTCACATTCAAATAACACGAAGATTGCTGTAAAATCGTAGATGAACAGCGTTAGTTCAACGACTGAGAAAGTATCGCATATAACAGAGTTATTATTGGACTTTATTACGTACAATTTGCCTTCAAAATATACGTTTAGTATTATGTCGAGAGTAGTAACGTAATTACATCACAAAGACAGAGAAGAATCCTTAGGACTTGGTTCTAAGAAATTTGTAAGGATTTTTCCATAGAGATAATATGATCTATATATATATATATATATATAATCTACGTCTTAAAAAGAAATTATTATTTCTCGCGAGAGACTTCGTTAAAGGGTATATCAATGTCGCTTAATAAACTACGAAAGTAAAGTCTGATCTATCTACAATGTGCTCCTCGCGTCTGGACTTTTTTTTTATATAAGCGAGTCATTACGATAAGAACATTTTATTTTATATAAGCGAGTCATTACGATGTTTGCCGGCAACGTACGTTTGTGCAAATGTATAATGTACAATTTGTCAACTTGCACGAATTTTTTAAACATATTTATTGTCTACAAAGTAAAATGTTTCTAGACGCAAAGAGCACATTGCAGATCAGGCTTTAGTCCTTTATCATCTAAGAGAGATTTTTGCCGCAAGTGACGTATCCAGTGATGACTAACGAAACACAGAAGTTCGAGAACGATATCCAGAAAGTTCCGACGGAATTCGTAATGAAAATCAGAGTAGTACGAAGATTCAAAGTTTTAAGCTAATAGCGAGTTCGGTCGCCTGCACTGGGTGCACACCAAAGCTTGTTTACATTCAATTCCTATATCAAAGCATAACTAGTAGGCCCACTCTCTATCGGCCCCTTTGATCTTTGCGGTCCCGATCATAGTATAACTAGTAGGTCTACTCCATCATTTGTTTCGATCTACTAGTTGGATACAACGGATCGTCTTAAAAACCGTCTACATTGGAAGTAAGAAAACCATAGCCTTTACCTTTCAGTATAAAAGCTAAAGTGCAAGCATCGTTTTTTAAATTATTTGTAGCACTAGTCGAACTGTGCTCTAATTCGCCGAGAATAAGCGTCAGAGCTGAAATAGAAGTAAGAAACGGAAATGGTTCCTTTCTTCACTCCTACTCTTACTCCTTAAGCCAGGCTTACTTCATCTATTGTTGACAATCCTTATATCTCTTGAAATATTTCTTAGCTAGTAAAATGATATGCACAGCATCTGTAAAGATCATTTTGTGGCTAAGTTGTTTGAACATATACGTAAGGTGAAGTGAAATCTAACAATTGAAGTGAAATTAATTATAAACAAGTCGTAGTATGTACTCAGTGCGCACTAGTGCAAGGAACCGAAGTCATTATAAGAATTGTAAATGTGAACTCATGTATGTGTGTCTATGTGTACGCGAATCATCTAATAGCCGTCTTCGTCGTCTTCGTCCATGGCGAAGTCACTGCCGACCCCAGAATCCGGCACGTAAAGAGGGCTGCGAAGCAAAACGGACATTACGAAGCGTCAAAGGAGGAAATGGGGGGGAAACAACGTCTCCTGTTCTGGAAACCTACTTTATCGCTCTGCACGTGAAAAATACGATGCGCTTCAGCTTTTTGTTGTAGAAGAAATAATTGAAGGACCACAGACACCCGTCCTCCCCAAAAGGATCCGACGCGAAGTCCGGATTGTAACTGTAAAAAAGAAGGGTTCTTTCATTTCACATTACTCTCACTTGAGGAATTGGGCTCGACGTTCAGGATCGTGTACCCACTCCATTTTCTTTTCCCCTTACACCGGAGCGGGACGATCGCAAGCGTTTACCTGTAAATATCACACCCGTGCAACGATATCTCCGTGTCGACGGCGGCCCAAAGGGCGGAACGCAACGAGCGATAGTGATCTCCCGCGGTGGCGTTGAGATTACCATCCACCGCATTCATCACCCATTGTAGACTCGGCTCCTTGCTGAACTCGTGGCTCTTGGCGTCCGAGAAATCGTAGTCCGGATTGAAGGTTGAATTCAACGTGGCGATGAGATAAAACAACGTCTTCCTGCTGATCGTGTCGCACAGCGGGCCCTCTTCGTCCCCGGAAACGCTACGACTGCGGGAGGGAAACGCGTCGGAATGGCAGCGTTATCGACTCGTCAACCCGGGGCGCGCGTCAACCGGCGAAATATCTTATCTCGAAAACTAGGCGCGATCGGCGCGAGGTAGCCGGCATTAAACTGACCGAGTGTTACGAATTTCTGCGAGTACAGATTAACGACAGGCGGGACAACTACAGACATCTCTCCAAGGTACCTCAAACATCCCTGAGCCGGAGACGTTCCCAAGGATGTCTGCGGAGGTGACAAAGCTTGCAGGTCGTGCGGCGTACCACCCTGCTCCGCGTTATACCGTTTGTACATCTGCTTGTCGTTGGCCGTCATCTTGCAGGAGTAGCTCTCGATCCTGCAACGATCAAAATAATGGTTCAAGGTGAGTGTCGAGCGACGGGGTCGACTTGAGAGACGAGTGGCACACTCGGAGCAGAAAGGCTGTTTACGAATCTGTCGTGAGACTCGAGTCCGTGTCGGAAGTCGACGCACGTCGCCTTGCGATGAATGCGACATACGTCTACGACAGTTCTTTATGTGTTGACTTGCGCCTTGGGCAGGTGTTACATTTGTCGTACAAATTTTTCAATCGTCCTGATTGGCTGCAGGACAGCAAGATTCTCGAGTATCTAGAAATGTTTTATTCAGCAGCCAATCAGACGCGCTTAAAAAATTTGTCGCACGACAAATGTAATGTAGTCTCACTACGGAATCGTAGACACTTGCGGCAACCTTTCTGCTCAAGTCCTTTTGTCGACAAAGGAGGACTCAGAGTACGGGCCTTTGCGCACTATTACATTTGTCGCGCGATAATTTTTTTTTAAGCGCGCCGATTGCAAGCTAGAAAGTTTCCAGATACTCGGGAGCTTTTCTGTCCTGCTTTGCCAGTCGACGCGCTTGGAAACTTTGCCGTGCGACAGACGCAACATCAGCATTACCTGCCGATTATCTTGCTATCTCCAGTCTGGATGGACAAGGCACTGTTTATAGCTTCCAAATGCGTATTTTCCAGCAACTTCATCCTGTTGACAACTGCGATCCCTTGTGACTGTACGCGAGGAAACCGCGGGCTTCTGCCTCGGAGAGCTGAAAAGTGCGTCGCGTCTACGGTGTTGCCTTTGGCCGAGGGGCTTGACAACACCTTACAACGTTGACATCTCGTGACCCTCACGAGTGCTCGCCGCTCGCTGTCCAGGCGAATCTAGATAGACGTTTGCTCAGACTGTCGACGGCCGGGCCGTTCAGTAGAAGCGAAACGTCAGGAAGCTTCTGTGACTTCGCGGACTTATCGGGTCGCTGGGCATCTCTCTTATGGGTATGAAAATTCCTTTCCTTTTCGAGTGCACGAGATTAATTGTCGACGTAGTGGTCTTCCCGGTTTCCTTACTGTACTTGCACATTACAGATAGCTAATTAAGGATTTGGAGAGGGGGGGGGGAGGTGATCGAGTTCCAGAGCAAGCTTGGCGAGATCAAGGCCCTCCACTCCCGCAAGGAGCCACGAACGGGTACTTGTCCTACGTGCGCTGCTCGATAAAGCCGAGAGAGAGGGAGAGGACACACTGGAGCGAACGAGAGCGAGAGACCGCGCGATGACGCGACGCGACGCGACGTGACGAACCACCGATAAACAAAGGTGCGCTCGCCTCTCCTTCGAGACTGAGGCTCGAGGAAAACTATCGTCTCCCCGGCGAGGGCCGTGCGAAAAACGAAGCGAGCGGGCGGGCGGACGCACGCACACACACACACACACGCGCGCGCGCACACACCGAGAGAGCAGTTTCAAGTCAAGGCGCTCCGAATTGACAAGAGACGTCAATTCTCCAAGCTCCGGTTCGCCTACTCGCGCGAAGGGGGAGAAAGAGAGAGAGAGAGAGAAAGAGAGACAGGCAGAGAGCGACCAATACGTATACGCGTTATGTACGCCGAGAAAACAGTGTCTCACACGCGTAGCGCCCGCTACTGACAACAACAATCCATAATCACGGACATCGTCGCTGATACGTAGTTATCTCACGGTCACCGTCGCGAACCGATTCGCGCTGCCGAACAAGCGTCGCCCGGTCCGCTGCCCGACGATCCTGCGTGAAACCCGTCCCGCCGAACTCTCCGACGACGCACTCTCGACCTTCCTCACCGCGGGTCCGACCAGTTTACCAACTCCAATTGCGACTCGGTGTCAGCCCGCGTTCACCGCGCACGTAGAGAGACGCAAACGGATCACGTACGTGTGCGCGTCGCCCACGGAGCTTGCGCGTGTGTGTACACACAGCACACACACACACACACACATACACACGTACATGCGCGTATCGCGTGTACGTGACGAAAATAGCAATAGCGTGTCGACGAGAGGGCGAGGGAGGGAGGGAGGGGGAGTCGCGGCGCGGATCCGCGTCTCGCTCTCTCTCGCTCTCTCGCACCGCTGGAGGGGGGAGGCACGCGTACGTGCGTTACGACGCACGCGCCGATGTGTGTGTGTGTGTGTGTGTGTCACGAAACCGTGACCGGAGCTCCGGCAGTGTGGGAAACGGGCCGTGTTTTTCCGCACATGCGCGGTGAATGGAGTAAAGTACCTAAGACGAAAAAAAAAGATGTACCGTTGATCGCCTGTGCATGAAAATCGTAAAACAATTCTTGAATTTAAGGAAATGACGATGGATACATTTTTGTAAAGACATAAACGTAATTTCGCACATACAGAAGCAAGTACAAGACGTAAATTTTATACGTGGTCTACAATGCGAGTCGCAGAGTCGTAGTCGTAAGAATAGTCGACTGCGATTGGTCAATTCCGTCAGACACGTAAGAATTGACCAATCATAGCCGACTATTCTTACGACTACGACTTCTATGTGGACGAGGCTTAAAGCAGCCATTTTGCTCAGGCCCATAGACCATGCGAAAAGAACGAAGAGGGCCGTGGCGCGCGCGTCGAGCTGCACGATTCCAATATTTCCAATCTCGCAGGATCAGCAGGCAGGATCGCTTCGGAATGGTTAGTCTGTTGTTGATAGCGGCTTGAAAATTTATTTATTTAATCGAAATGTCCAAACGAAACAGCGACTATGTGGTCACGGAGCATCGCGATTTACAGGTTAGTCGAGAGAGCACCGCGTAATCTCTCGTGTCAAAAATAACGATTGTTTATTAACCCCCCTTTTTTTGGTGTTTAGGCTAACACCATGGCAGTGGACGCGACCGGCAATTACGTCCTGTTGGCCGGGTAAGTGGCCCCTAAAATCAACGATTACCCGCGGCAGATGTCTATCAACTTACTAAGATTCATAGATCATTATTAGCCGAGTCTTTCGCGCGGAAAGATTATCTCAAAGATATTGTCGAAATTCTTTTATGAGCGAATAAGATTTCAATTGCTTTGTTGCTATGCCCGATCCGCTGTTGTAAGACTCTGATTAGAGGGACTTTAGCTGTTATTATTCTCGTGCAAATGCAAAAATTGTCTGCGCCTCCTCCGTAGGCGTAGGTACTTGGCGGTGAAGCACCTGGACGAGGACGTCAACACGGTGAAGAAATTTCAGCGACAGAGCAAGTACGAGGTCGGCTCTGCCGAATGGAACCCGTGCGACTCGAATTGCCACCTGTGTGCCATTTCTGTAAGAACTTATATGTAAAACTACACGCGCGTGTATTGCCATTTAAATCTAAATTGCTGGGCGAGCTCCAGGAAGAAAAAGTATACTGTAAAAGCGAACGAGTAATATTCGACCATATCCGGCGGAAATTTTTATGGCGAGGAATATTACCTCAGCCGGGGTTTGAACCCGGACCTCCCTAGTGTTGCCTCAGTGGCCGAATTGGTGAGACGCCCGCCTAGAGTGTAGGGAGGGTCCAGGTTCAAACCATAGCTGAGGTAATATTGTTCGTATTAAAAATTTCCGCCAGTTAAATGACATTACTTGTTCGGTTATTTAGCACTGGCGAAGAAAATATCACAGACGTATCGAAAAGTACGTACATCTTTCTTACGCCTTGCTTCGGAACAATTTGCTTTTAGAGCAACACGCGAATCGAAATATTGAATTTCAACGGAGCGGGTGGATACGAGCTGCAGACTACACAGAGCCTGAAGGCCCACACGCGGGTGGTTAGCGATCTGAACTGGCACCCCAAGGAGCCGGATATTATCGCCTCTTGCAGCATCGACACGTTTATACATATCTGGGACATAAGAGATCAGAGGAAACCGTGCTTGTCTCTGTCTGCAGTTGGTAAGATAATACACGGTGGAAAATTCCTTCTTAATTGAGAGAACAAACGGTTTTATCGGGGTCTTTTTTACAGCGGGATCGTCCCAGGTGCGTTGGAATCCACTGTTGTCGCATACCTTGGCCACGGCGCACGACGGAGACGTCAAGATATGGGACCAGCGGAAGGCAACGAGCCCTGTGCAGTATATAACGGCTCACCTGACAAAAGTACGTGCCTTCATGTAATCGTCAGATGACTGTCCAAGGTCAAACCATTGATACCATCTTGCGTCCCCCTCAAAACCACATAACTTTTGTCTCCAACATTTTTTTTCTAAACTGCATAGTTTTTGACAAATTTAGGAGTTTCCATACTTTTTCCTCACCCTGTATAATATTAGATTTATATTAGATTTATATTGGGAATGCCTTGGCCAATATTTAATAATGTGATAATACTGGCCTAGAATTGATACAATATTAGATCAATATTGGCTAAATAAAAGAAGGCGCCCATCTTACAATACTGGACCGATATTGGGAATACTAGATTTATATTATTTTCCAATATTGCGCCAACGTATTGTGCTACTGGGGTGACTTCTCTGCGAATCTGTAGCTGCGGTAGCTCGAGTGACCTTCGGTAAGAGAGTGTCCAAAGTGAAATTTTAGATACACGGTCTGGATTGGTGTCCCTTTCAACAAAATCAACTGGCAACGTCGAGCCAGGACTGCACCGTCAAGATCTTCGATATTGTCAACCCGCGCAGGGCCGAGAGTATTTTGACGACGAATTCGCCGGTGTGGAGAGCAAGATACACGGTAGGAACGCGGACACGAACGAGTTTTTGTCGTAGCTGCTCTGTGTATGGCGCGTCATCCATAAATTTCTTTTCAACAGCCCTTCGGAGAGGGTTTGGTGACGATAGTGGTGCCGCAATTGCGACGTGGAGAAAACAGTCTTTTACTATGGAACACGTCGAACCTCAGCGCGCCGATATACACGTTCGTGGGCCACACGGATGTCGTGCTCGAATTTCAATGGCGGCACCTGAAACTAGGTTGTTACACAAAAAATTATTGAAACTATGTTACGGAGAGAAAACACACGCTGTAACTCTATTTGTTTCTGCTTATAGAAAACGGCGAGTTCGAACTCGTTACATGGTCCAAGGACCAGTGTCTGAGGATATTTAAAATCAGTCCGTTCATAAAGAAAGTAAGACTGCAGCTTGTCTCTCAGTTTTGTGAATTATAAAAATTACGTGCAATAGAAATTTTTTTTAAATTTCAGTTGTGTAGCAATGGTATGGACGATGGCCTGTCAGTTTACAGCCAGTATTCCGAAGAGAGTAATCTACGTAAGTGGGGAACATTGTGGTATTTCGGTGGTAAAAACTTTTTTTTTTATACACAGAGTTATCTCTGCAGGAACTCTGCAGTCCGTCCAAGAACTGCAGTTGAACACGTCTCCGAGCGAGCCTGAGATAAATTACATTACGACCAAAGTGGACGAGCCTGTGCCGCAGTCGGAGACGATCAGCCTCCCAGAAAATTCCAAGAAAGTCTCGTCTCCCACTCAGCCAAAGAGTTTGCAGCAGGAATTTTCTCTGATAAACATGAATATACCAAATATAGAGGTAACGTTTCACTTCGGACGTGCCGGTCGACTCGAGGCAGCTAACATTTACACTTCGATTCAGGTTAACGCGATGGACGTGGTGGAGAGAAGCTGCACGATCACCGCGTGTACAAAGAACTACAATGTGATACTAAAGGTAAATTTTCCCGTCAATTATCCATGCAGCGCGCAACCGACGTTTCAGTTTTGCCCTGGCACCACGATAGACAGCGCGACGATGACCAAGCTGCTCAAGGTCCTCGTGCAAACCGCTCAGCATCGCGTCAAGAAGAACAGATCGTGCTTGGAACCGTGTCTCCGACAACTGATTATCACTTTGGAGCAGGTAAGCGGATCTCCTCTCTTCGAATTAACATGGCGCCAGTGCTTGGTATCTTCAGGTAAATTCTGTATCTTGCAATATAGTGAAAATGCTAAAAGTGAGCAGCTTTGTTTATTTTTAAAGACTGGTAGAAAGAGACAAAGCTATTCACTTCTAGCATTTTCACTATAGAATTTACCCCCCTTGACTTTTATCATCAAAGATACAGATACGAGATAAGTTTTCAAAGGATTCGGTGAAGAGATAAAGATACAAGTTACATTTCTTCAATTCCTTCGATTTAGATATACAGATGTACCAGATGTAGATACACTAAACTATTTTTCCGGAGAAAGATACAGACGCAGATAGTATCTATATCGGTAGCTGTATCTTTTTTAAAAAAAAAGATACCAAGCTCTGCATGGCGTTCAAATGAAAATTCTTTTATTTGCGTCAAATGCTCGACAGATGTGCAAGAAGGACGAGGATGAGAGCGGTCATCTGGTGTATCACATGCAGGATAATAGCAATTTCCTCAGTTCCCCCAATATCTGCGCCAATTATCAGGACTCCTATATACCGTTCCCTAGAACGTCCGGCGCTAAATTTTGTTGCGTAGGTACGTACACGCCCTACGTTTCTCAACCTCGCGTTTACCTAATCGCTCTCTGAACAGGTATCCTCGTTTGCTTCGGCCGTCCTTCCTACGCGAGAAGGTCGTCGATGAAGCCGGGAGACGCGACGCCCAGAGCGCTGTCCGCCTTGGACAATAGCATCGGTAACGGCGAACCTTTCATGCACATGTACCGAAGTTCCTACGTGCCAACTAACGACAACATGTCTATCAGCTCGTACTACTTTCAAGATCGTGTAAGGAATATTTGAATTGATCGAAATATGAGTGTAAATAGAGAAGTTCCTTATTATGAGACAGCGGAGTTTCTGCTAAATCAATAGGCATCATCTGTTGGCTCAACCATGAATTCATTGCCCTAGGAGTGAAAACTGTTTAGTGAGAAATTCATTGTTAGATCGTGTAATCGTTGCGAAAAAAGATCTGTTGTTGAATTTAAACGTTGAAAACCCGCTATCTCGTCTTAGAATCCCATCTCATAATAGAGAATTTTCCTCTAGATATATTTGTTATAATATATTCGTTATCTACGTAAACGCAATTCCATCAGCAGAAGGATCTTCGACGTGGATTGCATGGCGCGGGTAGAATGCACGACCGGTCGTATTTCAAGAACTGTCACCCGATGGTTATGATATACGACGTTTCGTCATTGTTCTTCGTTAACAAGGAACTCGCCGAGAAGTATACGTGAGTACGACAATTATACGTACCGTTTAAGCGCGTCGCGTTTTAGAAATCCACGAAAATGTTTTCTTCTTTTCAGAATCAACACCGCCCATATCTCGTCCATGTATCAGCACAATGCGAACGTGGCTGCCGCGGTGGAAAGGCCCGACTTAATTCAGACTTGGTGTTTAGCTGGTTTAATTATTTCGCCGTCCAACGCTGAGCAGAACTCTTGCCAATCGGGCCATTCTCTCGACATCAATGCTCCATGGCCTCTACATCCCTGGGGCCAAAACTTGATTCATTTCTTGTAAGTGGTTTGATTATAACAATTAAGTATTCAGAAAGAGGATACATTAAAACAATGTTAAATTGAACAATAGAGTAATTTTCAAATTGAGTACTTCTTGTTATAAGATCTTGGAACGTAGACTTTAAGAGGATTTACCTGAAAAGATTTCAGCTTAAATACCTTTCCGTAGTTCGTCGATTATCACAACTGTCATGAATGATCGTGACGTATTTACTCTACGTGTAATTACTCTGCATTTAGAATACAGCATTACGCTAAGCAGTCCGATGTTCAGATGGCCGGCATGCTGAGCTGCGCACTTAGCTACCGATCCGAGAACACCGACGCTTCGCAAACCAAGCTGACTAGCAAATCCGTGAACGTCAGTGTAAGTATGCAATTTGTGCGAAAGAGCAAGAAGCGCAGGTTGTGTGTCACTTGAAAATTTCTCCTCACGACACGGCATTGATGTGCCCCGCAAACTTGGACGGGAAGAATTATACATATACATTACATGTTCACCGATCACATTTTCGCTTTCTACTCCGCATACGCGTGCCTCAGTATTTGATAAGAATGGAGACTTACGCACAGCACAGTGTCCCTTTCTTCCGATGCATGAGGGTACATATGACGTTTTTTTTTTCCTTTTGAGAGTGCGATGTGTAATTTGTACAATATTTGAATACGGCGGTACAGTATGCATATTTCATCATAAATAACGTTAGTGAACACATTAATTAATTGAGGATGTCTTTCAGCGAAAGTGAAGAAAATTTTCCGCGTGCGTCGCTTAAATTTTAATCGTCTGTGTATTGTCGTGCAATAGATGTAGCATACTGTACCGGTGCGTATATCATTTATATATTTTTTAATTTTATATATATATCATTGCTAACGATACAATGTTACGTTTGTTATAGAGGCTTTCCATAGGAAAATGGTGGTTAAAGGTAAGATCTCCGAGTTTCGTTAAAATAAGACGTTTGGAATATTGGATTTGGTTTTTAGGATTCTCTGTTATGTAGTCTTGTCCTCGTCTCTCAGCATCGGATCGAAAGTGTTACCACTAAATGAATCTAAAATACGAATTTTACATATTTGTATAGACAAATATGTGATAAAAAAAAATGAAAAAAATAACGTGTAAAGTAATGCGTTATTTTTTCGTAAATAAATTGTAGTAGTGGTTAAATGTGGTTAAATGACACGTGCTGTTTGCCATAATTATGGGTATACTTCAAGACAAACAAATAATCATCTTTCTCTCTATGAAGAGAATTCGTGTAGAGAGCAGTTTCATCAATAACAATTCATTGCGACCGATTTATGTAAATGCTAACGATGTGCGTGTGTTGTATATCGTGTGCGTGTGTATTACGTACATAGTTGATATATATATCGCAATTGTGGGCCTATTCTATTTAATATATCCTTGCAGCCTGGTGGTTCGCCTTATCACACGATACATTTGGCGGACACCACGTTAGAGGGATGGAATTTTCAGAATCTGAAGCAACATCGGTCAAACTCGTGGTCGGAGTCGTTGGATGATTTCAAAGTCTTCCAGGACACCTTTGGAGACTCGACGAAAAACAAGTATGTTTCTAGACAACGCTAACACGTTTACGAGACATCATAGAGGATGGAAAATGTTTGAACCATCTCTTTCACAAGTGTTTTTCGACATTTCTGTACTTGCGCGAGTGTATTTCGGATTGTAATATAAATGCCTGAATATACTGTGCAGATTGTTCGATGAGAAATACACGGCGTTGTACGATGGGTACAAGAAGGCGTACGCTGAGGCGTTACACAGGTGGGAGTTGTTGGATGCCCGGACGCAGGTATTGAAACACCTTAGCGCGTCCTCGTTCGACGTGCAGAAGGACGTCGAGTTGCAGAACGAGTGCCGAATCTGCGGAAAGATCAGTCCAGGCCCGCAGTGCGCTAATTGCAAGGGATTGAGCTTCCAGTGTATCGTTTGCCACGTTACAGTCAGAGGTTCGTAGCTTACTGTCTAAACTGAGTTGAATTCGATAATAGGCACTTTAATTATAATCTCGAGTAAGTTTCGCTCTCGTTGAAAAATCTAGGTGCGAGTAACTCGTGCATGTTTTGCGGCCACGGAGGACACATTGAGCACTTAGCAGCGTGGTTTGCCAAAGAAGTGGTATGTCCCACGGGCTGCGGCTGTCATTGTTTGCAGGAAAACTCAGTGCTATTTAAAATATAGGTAATGTAGATGAATTTGTACATATAATCATGATCTGTGATAGCCATTGTTATGAATACATGAATAAATTTTTTTTTATTCCACGTACTGTTAATATAACTTAGTTGCTTGAGAAATCGTTGATCGAGGATGAATAGGTCGTTATATCGAATAGAAATAGGTCAAACGTGGTGAAAAATTAAATATCCAAATAATTTTACGGTATCAAGACGTAGATTGGACGTTTCCAAGTTGCTGTCGTTGTTTGAGGTTGTTGGTTTTTGAAAGCAGCATTGAAAAGGAAAGATGCTTTAATGTTTCATCGATCGAACGCCGTATAAAACTAGCGGCATAATTACAGCAAGAATAATTCAACTGTAATTTAGTGCCAATTATTCCACACTCAAGTTACGGCAACTAGTATCGATAATGATCGGGCTTGTAAGGTCCCTCCACAGACACGTCCAAATACCTGGCCTGCTCTGGCGTGAGAGTCGTTAACTTCACTCCCAAGTGTTCGAGATGTAACGCCGCGACTTCTTCGTCCAGTTTCTTCGGCAGCATATGCACGCCAATCGGATAATTGTTCGATTTCGTCCACAGTTCGATTTGTGCGAGCACTTGATTCGTGAACGAGTTGCTCATGACGAAGCTCGGGTGACCCATCGCGCAGCCCAGGTTCACCAAACGACCCTCCGCGAGAAGAATAACATGTCTGAAATTTGAGCAACGTAATTTCAACTCGTTATCGAGAGATCCCAAATCAATCGATTCAGCAATCGCACGCAGCGTACAAAAGAACGTACCTGCCGTTCTTCAATCGGTATTTGTCCACTTGGGGCTTTATGTTAATCTTCTCGGCGTTCTTATTCAGCCACGCGACATCGATCTCGCAATCAAAGTGCCCAATGTTGCAGACGATGGCGTCGTTCGGCATGTTCATGAAGTGACGATCCACGATGATGTCCTTGCATCCTGTGGTAGTGACAAATATCTGCCCCTTCGCGCTCGCTTCGTCCATCGTTGTCACCTACGGGTCACATATATTTGTTAATTCAAATTTGCGACACAATCAATGATGATTCAGTGCAACCGGTGCAATTAAGATGACAATTGGACGCAATTTTAAAATCAATCGGGGGGTTTCTTTTTCATTAATACCTCGTATCCTTCCATGGCCGCTTGAAGGGCGTTGATGGGGTCAATTTCAGTGATGATAACGCGACCCCCGAGGGCCCTGAGACTTTGGGCGGATCCCTTACCCACGTCTCCATATCCGGCCACCACGCATACCTTACCAGCTATCATAATATCAGTCGCTCTTTTGATTCCATCTACCAGCGATTCCCTGCATCCGTACAAATTGTCGAATTTACTCTGTCAAGAATGTAAAGCCAAGTTAGTTGTTTCGTTACGTATTCGGGTGTTGATAGATTTTCATTAATTTCAACTTTTAGTTGAAATTCCGAGAAACATTTATCTCGGAAAGTTTAACTATACGAAACGTAGATGGTTATTGAAAGCGCAGTGTCATGCGTTGCGTCAAGATTTCTGCAAGTGTTAACACACTTCGTGTTTCACTTATCATCCAACCTTATCAGTTTCCTCACTATTTCGTCTTATTATTTTATAAATGCCATATTTATCCTCTCAATTCGCGCGAACAGTGTCTATTGAACTCTAATCGAGCCGTAATCGTTAGTGATAATTTTTTCTAACTTATCAGCATACTCTGAGCGCAACTTTAGCATCGATAGCTTATCCACAATTTCATAAACTTGTTTACGCGTGACCTCGCTCCTGTGAACGCGCACGAACCTTCGTGACGGAGTCGTTGACGTTGATCGCCGGCACTTTGAGCGTTCCATCTTTCATCATGCGGTAGAGATTGTGCACGCCGGTGGTGGTCTCCTCGGATAAGCCGCGGCATTCCTTGAGATACTGCGGATACTTGATGTGCACGAGGTTGGTCAGGTCGCCGCCGTCGTCGAGGATCAAGTTGAACGGCTGATCGTCCGGAAACACGAGCGTCTGCTCTATGCACCAGATGTATTCCTCATCGGTTTCTCCCTTCCACGCGTACACCGCCACTCCCGCCTTCGCCATCGCCGCCGCGGCGTGATCCTGCGTGCTGAATACGTTGCAGGATGACCATTGCACCTGCGGTAGAATGGCTTTGTTGTAATTCCGATATTAGGTAAATCGCTCAACAATTTCCACGCGAAACTACTCGTTTTAGAGTCGATAAACGGGTGGAAGAAATATGTGCGATAAGACAAAATGAACATGCCGGCATACCATGTATTGCCACATGTGAAGGCAATTATCGATAGATTATCGAAAATAGATTTGTTTTTCTCTCCATTTTAATGACACATGCACGAATTCGCTGATTCGTGGAAGTTGGAAAAGAATCGCCGGTTCTTTTCGACAATGCAGGCAGTTTGTAAAGATATGTCTATATAAATTTGATTTTTTAAATCAATTTCTCACGAGCCAAACTGAAGACAAATTTACCTCGGGGGGGAGAAAATACTTGAGATAAAAAGAATCGATTCAAGACACGTGGATTCTCTTGTCAAAGGGTCTTCTAAATGTGTCCAAGTTAATCCGAGAGACTCTTTGAAATGCAAACATCGTTTTTCTTCTCGTTATGTTTATTCGCATTCGCTTTGCCGTCGAATATCACAATGAAAATCCACGAGTACAACAGCGTACCGGGAGAGGAAAAAGGAAACATTTTCGACTGAATGCGACGTATTCGAGTTTACATGAGAGATCAACAAGGTCAACGACGATAACATTCGCGTGTAAATCGTAGGGTTTATCATCTCGCGTTCCTGCGTCGACAAGTGAATGGCTGCGCGAAATTTTAGCGCTCACATTTGCACCGAGTTCCTTAAGGGTTTCAATCAGCACCGCAGTTTGCACGGTCATGTGCAGGCAACCGGCGATCCGTGCACCCTTCAGTATCTTGCGCGGCCCATACTTTTTCCTAAGCGCCATAAGCCCCGGCATCTCGTTCTCCGCCAGGGTGATCTCCTTACGACCCCATTCCGCCAGGGAATAGTCGGCTGTTGAGAAATTTCCCCCAGTTAGTCCGGAAAAATCATTGCTGGTGCTAAGAGGCGCGCTTCACAAACTTAATTAAATATAAAATTGTACTCGACATAAATAGAACGAGTTGTTATCGCCTTATGTATATATTATAGCGTATACTCGAATTTTTTATGTGTAGAGGAGAGTTCTGCGTTACGAGATAGGAGTCTAATATGAGACAGCAGGTTTTCAACGTCCAAATTCAATCGTGAATCGCTTTTCGCAACGATCGCACAATCCAACGATCAATTTTCCGCTAAACAGATTTCACCCCAAGGGCAATAAATTCATGGCGGAGCCGACAGATGATCCCATACAGCACGCGTGTCTAAAAGGCATCTTTAAAACGTCTTCAAGTGGCCTTTTAGACACACATATCTAAAAGATAACTTAGAGACGTGTTAAAGGTGCCTTTTAGGCATGCGTGCTATCGGCTGCCTATTACTTTAGCAGAAACTCCGCCGTCTCCTATTAGGATCCTGTCTCGTAACAGGGGACTTTCCTCTGTACGTTACATTTAATGTTATATATAGCTGTAAAAAGAAGATATGTATAAATAACATTTTTTTCCAGTTACGTCTTGATTACCAAAGACTGGCCAACTCCAAACGCGCAAACGTCACAAAGTACAATTGCACGAGATTGCAAAGTGTCAGAGCTTGCGCAAAGTTACTTCCAAGAAAATTATTCCACGTAGTTTTTTTTAAACGTTGCACGGCCATAAAAATTTTTAACGAGAACGTGCAAATCGTGCAATTAGTTAACCGAAGATAACAACGGGTTTAAACACGAGGCTTCAATATCCGCGGCGTATCTTTGACCGTGTGCGATGAGGAAACGCCAGTTTCGTGCTCTCTTGATTTTATTCCGCGTCGCATCTCGTATAAAACGACCCAACAATCTTATCCGTAAAAACTAACAGCCCGGTCATTGGCGTGACACGAGATAGCGGCGCGGAATTTCGTCTGCGACGTAAAGAACAACGCACCTAACAGATCGTACTTGGAGCGGATTACAATTCGGTCGTTAAATTCGAGGCAACGCCGGCGCGGAAGTTTTACTCGCTGCGGCGAAGAGATAAGAGATTTCGGAGTCGATTCCGCGGGACGTCGCGGACCCGCGGCCAATTATATCGCTATCGTTCCCGGTCCGCTCGCGTGCATCGAACGTTCGCGCGTCTACCATCGCGGGGAACCGCGAGGTACTTCACGGCGCTCGGTAGCGGGCGACGGGCACGTGTCTCGCGTCCTCGCGTCGCTCCGGGCCTCGCGGAGTCGCTCTCGTCCGCGCCCGGTGCCTGCGTTTGCCACTTACCGACTTTGTACGGGGGCTTCTTGCCGTCCATGGTGCGCGGTCGCGTGGTGCACGTGTCGGTCCGTGAGCGGCGAGTGGCAGAGCGAACGTGCCGACCGATAACCTATATGCCCGAGAAGAGCCGGCTCACGCCCACCACCACCGCGAGAACGTAGCGCCGAGGCGGACCACGTGATCGCGAGACTATCGCGACTCCGCGAGATTCGATTAGTCGCGATCAGTCGCGATCACGTGACCCCGCGGTGCTCGAGTTGGTCGGCGCGCGCGTGCGCAGGGAGCGTTGTTTGCGAAAACGCGGGCGTTCGCGACCGGCGCGGAAGCGAGGAGGAGATCCGCCGGTTCACAGGTACGTACGGGCGTTCATTATCGATGCTCGGCGAACGCCGTCGACGCCGGCGTCCGCTCGACGTCCCGCGCCCGCGGCCGTTCGCGGTTTCGTCGCCATTTCACGACGTCCCCCCTGCGATTCACTCGATCGCGCCGTCGAGCGGCCATGTTTCGAGCGGGGGAGAAACCGGTTGATTATTCGGACTTTATTCGGTTAATTGTCAGGCGCGTGGGTTGCGCGTCGACAGAAATAGCGATTACGCGAGACCTTTCGCGTAGCCGCGCGTCTCGTCGGACAATTTTGCCGGAATAAATCTCGCGGGACGAATTCAGGCCGGGATGAAGAAGGGGGGGGGGGGGGGAAGGGAAACCGCGGACGCGCGTCGTAACGGCGGAATAACTTCCCAGTGAGAAATGATTCGTCGATCGACGTCGTTTCGACGTCGAATCGACATCGACACCGTCGAATTGACGTCGATCGACGAATCATTTCTCACTGGGAAGTTATTCCGCCGTTACGACGCGCGTCCGCGGTTTCCCCCCCTCCCCCTTTCATCCTGTTTGCACCCGGCCCCCGCTTAGCTTATAACCAGCTCTGGCCGTGTAACAATTGTACTTGTTATTAATTGAATGAACGCGATTTATCGTGGACACATTAAATGTGCATTAAAATATGTTGCGCGCCGAAAATGCGCGGCATAAGAAATTGGAATTACCCAGTGAGAAACGACTCGTTTTATCGACGGCGATGCGTCGGCGGTGCGCGCCGTCGCCGCTAGATGGCGCCAGCTGGTAGTTTTATGAATTACAAAGGGTCCGAGAGATGCGTTGCTCGAACTTGTAAATTACTTTGCAATGTGCGTCCGAAACAACCCAGGGAGAAGAAAGGAGTTATTTTGTCTACATTGAGGACCGGTTTTTCCAATCTCTTGGTAAGCTAACTAATAGTTAAAGAAAAACATTAACTATCAGTTGACTTGCCAAGAGTTTGGAACAACCGGTCCTAAAACTTGTAGAAAGCTTATTGTTAATCTGAATTGATAATGAAAACTTAGGGACGTTAGTCAAGATTCACTTTAAATAATAACCGATCAAAATTTTTTAACGTGCAATTTTAATACTCAGCGATAATTGACGGTAAAGAAAGTCGATATTGGTTGAAACCGACGTATGAACGAACGTGTGAAAATATTCGGTAAAACACTGATCCTCGAGTTCCTTCATTAATACGTAATCTTCGCTGTTAAATTTGTACTGTTGAATTTAACTCGATGAGCAAACAGTTGCCACTGCTCCTGCTCAATATGTCGTCAATTTAATTAAACACTGGAGTTAAAAGAAACCGCGGAATGGTGAATAAAAGATGTAGTTGATTTTTAACTGCATCTCGCGCTAAAATAATAAATTTTACTACGCATGACAGTTGAAAATAAGTGTAAGAACACGTTGCCTTTTATGATATCGAAATTACAGCATAAAGGTGTAAATGTATAAAAGAGCAAACTTTAAGTGAATTATCACATTTGAGCCATGCGAATTTTCATTAATCTGTCAAGTGAATTATTTTAAAATGCCGGTTATTAGCGACTCATCAAATTTTCGCTCCGCATTTGGTATCCGAATTTGGTCACCTTACCCTAACGACATTTCGAGTAGGAACAGTGGCGACTACTCATCGAGTCCCTAATAATTTAACAGCGTTCAGTCTCGCAAATTAAAGTCCTCAAAATTGGATCCGCTTTTCTGCAGCTTCGTGAACAACGATTTCGCCTCGTGCCTCTCTCGATCCAGCACGAGTTCCTTATCGATTCTTTTCAGTTTCGGTAGCATCGCCAGTACGATCAGCCTGTACTCCTTCTCTCCCTTCTCCTCCGCCTCTTCCCTCAGAAGAGGATTCCCTAGGACGACAAGCGTTTCCAAGTTCGGCAGGCGGTCCAGCTTTCTCAGTTCTGAAATCCCCGGGAGCTCGTTATCGCGCAGGTTCACGTAGTTCAAGCCGCGGCATCGCTCGCTGAAGCCGTCCAGACTCGCGAGTCTGTTGCCTCGCAGGTGTAGCGTCTTGAGATTCACGAGTTCTCCGAGGCCCTCGATCTTTTCGATTTGATTTTCGGCCAGGAAGAGCCGCGTCAGACTGGAACAACAGATTCCTGCGACAGGCAAAGTGTTGGAACGTTATTCGGGGTAGGTCCAGTCCCTCTCGGATCCCTCCTAGCTGTACCGGATTCTTGAGCTACCGTTCGAGAAGCTCGACGTCTCTCGCTTAGACCTCTACGATCGTCCTCGATCAAAGCTGGACACACACGAAGAAACTTAAGCAGTTCTTAGGACTTAAGAATTTCAACCAATCGAAATTGTCGAAATTTTCACCGTTGCTTTATAGTTTCAAAATGCCTGCTTACGTTCTCGACAGCCGTTTCCCTTAAGTCTTAAGTTTTCCCGTGTGCTCGGGTCTTCAATCTCGGAGGATAAACAACCGGCCCTCGTCTCACCTGCGGTGCTGATCAGCGCGTTGCCGCGTAGCTCCAGGGTCCTCAGGCTCACGAGGGCCCGAGGATCCACGGTCACCGCGCGAATATCGTTGTGGTTCAACTCCAGACGCTCGAGCGAGCTGTGGCGGATGCCGTACGTGTCCGTCAGCCTGTTTCGGTTCAGGGCGAGCTCCTAGATTCGAGATCTCACTAGCGCGGATCCGCGGGGGTTGTCGAGTTTCGAGTTTCGAGCTGAGAAGCGAGGCAAGAGTCCCGCCACGTGTTGTCACGTAAATAAAGTAGTATGTGTGCATCGGACAGTGACACCGTGTGTCACTGACAGACCGACACATGGAGGAAAGTCCCCTATTATGAGACAGGATCCTAATATGGGACAGCGGGGTTTCTGTTAAATTAATAGGCATCGTCGTCAGTTGATTCCACCATGAATTTACGGCCCTTGGAGCGAAATCTGTTTAGTGGAAAATTCGTCGTTAGATCGTTGCGAAAATAGATTTGCGATTGAATTTGGGTGTTGAAAACCTGCTGTCTCCTATTAGAAACCTATCTCATGATCGAGGACTTCCCTCTGCTACTTTATTTACCTGACAAGACATGGCGGAACTCTTGCGTTACTTTTCACCTCGAAGATAGCAGTCTAGCAGTACATGGAAGTCTGTGGTCGAACCCTCCATTGAGTGAGGAAACGAACGGAGTCACCTGTAGATACTGCATCGGTTTCAGCTCCGCGCTGGTCAGACGATTTCGGTCCGCCCGCAGCGTCTGCAGACACGGCATCGCCTCGAGCGCACGCAGTGCCTCCAGGGTCAGTTTGTTCCCCGACACATTCACGTAACGAACGTGCCCGAAGGACGCTATCACGCTGATATCCGTGAGACCTCTGTCCGAGGCGTCCATGCTCAGATAAGCGTACTCGCACTTCGCGGCGCATCTCCCTAAATTGTGAAGGCACTCGCCGGCCTCGGTGCGTGTCAGCACGCGTGTCTCGTGCTCGGCCTCGTCCGACGTTAACTCGAATGCGGGTTGGTTTTCCTCGCCATATTCCTCAGCTTCAACAAGCACCTTCCCACCTTCCTCCTTATCGTGGCTTTCTTCCTCCATGTATTCTTAATTGAAGTAAAATTGCATGTATCTCGAGTTTATTCGAGCCATTTGGAGCATTACGGTAGAAACTTTAATATCTATTTAATGTCATTAGTTTGATTAATGAAGGTTAAATTTAATCTAGCGGAAAATTAATTAACATTTATCTTCATTTATGAAGTATAAAATTCTCCAACAGCTAGAAACATATATGATAATATTTTAGTGTAAGAAAGATGCTTACATTACGTCAAACGTTATTTGCGAGAATCTAGCCTCTCTCCTTGACGCGTCAATAACGATGCATCAGATAACACATATCGATTAGAGTTCCAAACAAAAGAGAGAAGCGAAATCGATGCACAAGTTGTAAATGTGTACGGTTAAAAAAATATTTCGCATAATTTCTTTTCAGAAGAATAAACGCATAAAAATAGAATTTTCGTAAGGGGCACTGCATTTAATAAAAATGATTTAAGAAATTATTGATTATTTCGCGATTTTAAAGCAGTAGAAAAAGGTGTGAATGCAACATTTTTGGAAATATTAGTAAAAGCATTTATTGTAGAAATCCATGCGGTAGATAAAAGGCTGTCTCAGGATAGATAAAATTCGCCAGAGATGAACGATCGAAATTGCATTAGTCATTCAGTTGCGTTTAATAAAATATGAATACGATACGCGTGTACGTGCGAATCGCGAACGACGTGACGGCAAAGGAGTATCGAGACCCGTGGGTTTTTAACGAACTCTAACGCATCTCGATTCCTGCCATTGGACCCGTTGAGTGTCCTCCGCGACTCGTCGCTTACGATGCATGATCTCGCGGAGTTTCTTCAGTAGGATGAAGTTGTCCCTGAGAATTCGCGCCTGCCGCTCACGCTCCAGCTGCAGTCTCTTCGCATTGAACGATACGTGAGGTCTGACCTCCGGAGGGTTTACGTCCACCGTCGGTTTAGCCGTCTTGACCTGCGAGGCAATTCGGGTACAATCGTAAATTTTCTGACGACGTTACAGAGCGTGAAACATCCGGTTTTAGAAAAAGCAAACTATTTACCCCGGTTTTCACCAACGTCCTTTAACTTTGATCTTAATTTAATTCCATGATTTGTCTCTTTCTAAAGGAACAGTTAAAAAGAGACAAAGAATGAATTAAACTAATTGTAAGATCAAAGTTAAACGACGTTGATGAAAACCGAGATGAATCGATTGACCACCAAGGGCCACCAGTTTCACAAACGTCGGTTAACTGTTAACCAGAGTTCAGTCAGCACCCTATCTTTTTCTATCTTATCTAAGAAGAGACAGGGAATCAATTAACCTTCGGTTAGCAGTTAACTGACGTTTGTTAAACTCGTCCTAAGGCCCGGCTTCACCAAACGTCGTTTAACTTTAATCTCATAGCGAATTCGGTTGCTTGTATTAACCTGTGTGAAGTTAGTTAGTGTGAACTTTTGAAATTTCAAAATTCTAAAAGTTGTCCCAGGTTGTTCTAGACTTGTTCCAAATTGTTCGAGACGATCAAATTTATATCATGAACATTTTCTCGGGAAATTTAAAAAAAAAACGATTTTTCTATCTGGCACTCCAGTTTTCGAAAAACTTTTCGAGGTTGTTCCAAGTTGTTCTAGTTGTTCCGACCATTGTATTTTTCGCAATAAATTTTCTGCACTGACCGATTAATTAACAAATGTGGCCAGCTGTGGTCGTATGAAATTTGGAATGTTATTATTGTACTGGCAGTTTGAAGAAACTAATCTCTCATTTGTTTCTACGAAGATATCTTTATCACTGAGGTCGTTAGATCCTCGGAGCTTTCGTCGAGAGGAAGCCCGATGAAAGAAGCATCGACCGTTAAAATATTAAACGAGATCGAATCAAGAGCAACGTTTATAATTCATGAGTGCTCACCCTAGAACGGTGACGTTCGTACGCCCTTCGTTGCCAGGAAGGCTCGTCCTCGCTTCGTATCCTTCCCCGGTTCGACATCCTGCATACTTGATAGCGCGGCTGTTTGCACTATACATATAGCGCGAGTAACCAAGTTTCTCTGGCAACGGAAGCGTTCGCGATATTGATCTTTTTTCGACGCGCGAGAAGCACGCGGGCTTTATCGTCAGTGTTTACTTAACGTTACTTCCAGTGATAATATCCAGAATATCGATTTTTAGATTAACAATTTGAAAATCTTATGTTTTAAAGTGATGACACTTTCGCAATATAGTTTTCACACTTTTTAAAGTGGCGGAAGTTGCAAAATTGTTCTAAAAATCCGTATTATTTTACATAACTGAATATAAATAGATATTAATAGACGTCAATTAAGGTCTGTAAGTCTAAATCGGATAATTGATGGAAATATTTCACCTGCGTGCTATTGGAAGCTGCGATTGTAAAATTTTCCACGCGCGTTTTTAACATAAAATTTCCCAATCGAGATTTCTTCAACTGCAGCCCAAGACGCGACAGGCCACAAATTTAATTATGGAGCCACGTAATTTGCATGAGTTTCTCAAGAAAATAAATAAATCTTCATTTAATTTACACGAAGTCTGCGATTGCAAGTTACCGAGTTAAGATTTGGACGTTAGTTACGTGCACACGTGCGCGTGTCTCCATGCAGAAAATGGACGAAGAGCTAATCTCTCGAGACGACATAGGAAAACGAAGCCCCGCAGAACCTGCCCCTGTCCTCTTAGCCCGAGCCAAGCGAGTGCAAGCGGCTAACAATATGTCATACGCACGCACGTGCGGGCGTGTGTATCGTGCGTGCACTTCCACCCTTCGCAGACGCAGGAGGATACTGCGATTGGCGGAGGCTGCTGGACCAATAGTGCGCGGCAGGGGGCGGAGATTCGCTCATTCTCGTCCGAGCGCGTGAAATTTCTCCTTCGACGCGCTTCGATATTTATGCAAGCGTACGCGCGAGAGAAAACGACTCACAAACTCGACGGTAATTTTATAATTTTACAGCACTCTCTTGCTATTTTTTTTTCTATGGACATAGCTTACATTTTAATGTTATTTATTATATTTAAACGTGTGTCCGCGCGAAAGGATCCAAGAGGGTGAAGGATTTTAGAGAAACCGTCGGAGAAAGAAAAAAGGCAATTTTAAGGAACACTTCTGACACATAAATCAAGCCACACAAGTGGAGTCCTATCTTTGCTATTCATTGAATACCCGAAGGAAGAAAAAAATTGCGCGTTGACTTTTGTATCATCAAGCGAAAAACATCCGCTGTGACAAAGAGAAAGCGTAATAATTTGTTTCTACAGCGCCGTAAAGGACGGTATTGTGTAAAACGCAAGCGCAGGCAATAACGTAACAAAGTAACAAAGCGATTCAAGGACAAGAAACAGATGTGTCGTAAAAGAAGGGAAAACATTTCGAAACTTGAGAAAGATGTAAATTAGTTACAAAAGAGACTTTCTACCCGGGATTAACGATGCTCTCTGAGCTAACTTGGCTCTTATTTCCTTTTGATGTATGTATGTCCATACAATGGAAACATATTTATCACATACTTGTGTAGCAGTAAGATTATTGTAACTTATTGCCAGACTGAAAATGTATCTGCGTACTGGAAGAAATAATCCCGGGAAAAGGGCACCATTTTCCAGTGTCGTCTGAAGAAAATCCATTTTCTACACGGAGACACGTGCACGTGTGCAGCTAACACCCAAAATCTCAGCTCGATAATTTGCAATTTCACTCGCAGGCTTTAGGGAATGTAAATTAAATATAGATTTATTGGTTTTTCCGAGGAACCAAACGACAGAACAGCTATCTACTAATTTTTTGCGGTTATCTAGTTGTGCGGTCCAATCGGTGTTACCTTCTTTTATCGCTTTACATTTCTTATGACGGAAAGAAGTAGACATAATAAATATAGACTGAGCGTTTCATTGAATAAGCTGAAGCTTGCGGCCCTTGTCACGATGGTGAGACAGAGGAAGAAAGTTTTCTTATTGTTAACTCTTCTCTGTCTCTTTCTTTACAAGCTTCAGCTTATTCAATGGGACGCTCAGTCTATATTTACTGTGTCTATGGGAAAAACGCACTCAGCTACAGAGAGCAGCGATAAAACTTATTGTGGTCGATGAATCAATTTCGCTGTTTAGGGTAAGGTGACGAAATGCGGGTCAACAATTTAACGAGTCGCTAATAAGCGACATTTTTAAGTGATTCACTTAAATGTTGCTCTTTTATATATTTAAAACTTTACGCCTTATGGCTGTCTTTCGAGGGAACAGCAAACACTTGCGTACCTACTTCTCTCGGCTAGTTTATATTTTGTCCCTCATAAAAACCGGTCTTTCAGGCTAGTTTTTGGAAATGGCTGTCGTCGCGTGACCCGTAAAAATATGAATGGATAACAGAGACTTTAATAACACAAATGGATGAAATTCATAGGGCTCTCGTGTGATAAGCACAAATTATACCAACATTTTGTTGGACAATCGCCCGCTTTATCAAGATCGCGATTAAATATTTAGACGTCCACTCACTCGAACGTACGGAAGATGAACGGAATAGTGGGATTAACCGGAGAATCGGGGCTGCAATGTCGGTGTTCGAGAGGAGATGAAGGGGAGGGGGACAAAGAGGGAGGAAAAAAAGGATAAATGGGTATCCATGACCGGTAACGCCGTGGATCGCGCGCTCGCCGGAGGGTCGTTGATCTTAATCGCGCGCGGATCCTCGACAATGATCCTCTCAAACGGATGAGCCCCGCCACTCGAGAGAGACACGATGAAGACCTTCCCTCGAGGGGATACACACGCGGTGTTATACTATCTAAGCAGGCATCCGGCGACCGAAATGCGCACCCCCCTTCCTGTCCCCCCTGACCGATACACACTTCCCTGCGAAGGGAATAGCCAGCCAATCCGGATACTATCGTCGATCCCGCTGTCGTGTATCGCTCTGGCGATGTATCCCTTCGTACCATCAGGAGTGCGAAAAAAAATTTATGGCTGTCTTTCGAGAGAACAGCAAAAACTCGCGTACCTACTCCTCTCTGGGTTTTACTCGATTACTCCCTTACGTAAAACGTTTCAGGATAGTTTATGGAAATAAATGGCCTTCGTGGCGTGACCTGAAATATGAATGGATCGCAGAAACTTTAATAACACAAATTAATAAAATTATAAAGACATTTTGTCGGACAATCGCGTGCTTTATCAAAATCGTGATTAAATATTTAGACGTCCATTCACTCGAACGTACGGAGGATGAACGGAATAGTGGGATTAACCATACAACTTCGGTGTTTATTCGACAATATCTGGCATTTTTAATAGTACAGAAAATTTAATGCGAAAAATATTGCCTTAGTCAGGGTTTGAACCTGGACCTCCCTACACTCTAGGCGAGCGTCTCACGAATGCGACACTGAGGCATGTGTTTTCGCAATAAATTTCCTGTATTATCAAAAATTATATAGTCAAATAAACACTGAAGTTGTTAATTACTGCTGACGATAATGAAGAATTTTCTTATTTAATAATACAAATTAATAAAATTCACAAGGCTTTCATGTGATAAACACAAATTCGAAATATGAATAAGGATTAAAGAGCCGTGACAGGATGTTAGTGTCTAAATAACACAAGTAAATCTCGCGTAAATTGCATGGATTTTGTTTGCCAGTTGGGATTATTTATAATATTGGATTTTAAAGATCATTTTATGATACGAAACGTTTTTCCCTCCGGGTGAACTTTTCGGCTTCTTTTCGCAGCCTTTGATACATTAATTTGGAACGTCATGGAAAGAGTGTTAAACGATTATCTAATTAGACAAAAAAAGGACAGACTATTATTGTTTATCTATTTGTTACTTTGTGGATAAAATTTTTGTACAACACAATAGATTTGAATAGATAATAGGAGGACCTGAAATGGTTCCAACTTCAAGTTAGACTTCTCTGATAATGGCTACGTTCAGCAGAAAAAGCTGCTTTGCAACTGTTGTAAAATTCGTGAATCTGCTTGGCGTATGCTCTTAAATTCACTCAACATTAAAAGAATACGCCAATCAGACTCACGAATTTTACAACAGTTGCAAAGCAGCTTTTTCTGCTGAACGCAGCCAATCACGTAGAATACACGGGAAAAAATGCTGTTGAATTAAGCAAAATGAAGTTGCTTGAATTAAACGTTAACGTCACGGGCTGCCGCAAATAATTCACTGAATTGTATTTGCTATGGATTTAATTTTAAGCATTGAACTAAATATCCAGATTATTAAAACAACAATCTAATGTTTTTCATTTATTACTGCTGATGTTCTCTCAACGATTTTGTTTCAATTTATACACTGATCTAGTTGATACATCATTCTTTTTTCCGTGTAGGATTATGCATATCCTAAATTCCTTGCACACTACCCGAGTTTTACCTTGAAGATGATATATTTCCGGCCTCAACTCCGCTGTGTAAAAGAAAGTAAGAAGCTTTTCAAAGCACTTTGAGTATAAACGGCTCGCAACAAACTTGTCGAGTCCGGGTAACAGCGTTCTTTCGTTTATAAAATTATGAGACCAGATTGCCTAGCGAGTTCCCTCCTTTTCTCACCCTCGGGGGTGAGCGAGAGCTCCTTGTACACGAGCTACCCCGGAGGGTTGAATCAAGAAGCAGGCTGACTGGCTGGCCGGCTAGAGAAGCCCGTGATTCAGCGGCCTGGCAGAGGGAGAGACGGAAGGCGGTCCAGAGGCGTGTCGAGCAGCTCCCGGGTGCGAGCAGCGGGTGATCCAGCGTGGGGGGGACTCCGCGCGCTTTTCGGAGCACCAGTCTTCACCGAAGCACCGCATCGTGCGTGTCGTAGCGAGAGTGTTACCTCGCAATCATCTCGTGGTGAGTCGCGCGCAGGAGAATACGAGGTCACTCCTCGTCCTGTCACCTTTCGGGCTTGTTCCCCCCTACTCCGAGGAGCGGCGATCTCTCGCTCGGTATCTCGTATACACGCGGGGGTTGAAAGTGGTGAACATACAGTCGCGATCCAGCTCGGTCTCCGCGACGAGAAGGAGGAGGCAGTGTTCGAAAGATTCGGGCCCCTTCGTCCCTATCCCGTGGCGACGAAGATGATGCACGCAATGAGCGAGCACGCGGGCGTGGGTGTACTACCATTCGACGGAATGGGTCTGTACGAGCAGCCGCGGCCGCCCCGTTTAGTCTTCAAGATGCCGCGCGTCGTGCCCGATCAGAAAGCCAAGTTCGAGAGCGACGAGCTGTTCAGAAGGCTTAGTCGCGAGAGCGAGGTGAGTTCGCCGACCGGGAATCACCGGCGACAGTGGAAACGAACACGCTCGGATTCGCGAACAAGTCGCGTCAAGAAGGAAGTTGCCGTAAAGAGATTTAATCTACAGGAAATCTATAAATGCCTACATCTATAGGGAATTATTAGCATACGTGCGTCGTGTTCGAGGGATAAAATCATCACGTGTCGGGCACAATTGACACTTTCAAGAGGAAATACTCGCGGTTGACAAACACGTCAAGCGCGCGATGTCTTCTAGAGCAAACGCGCGCGAGGAAACGGCAGGGAAAGTTTCGAAGGGACTAATGCGTTCTCTCTAAAAGTCGATCAGTGCATTATCGCTGAAAACAGACTTAGTGCTATTCTTATAACTGTGAATCAGTGATAATCCACTGATTGACTCTTAGTGCCCATCTACAATAGAGATTTAAACCCTCAAAAATCTCAATAGAGATTTAAACCCTCAAAAACCTCAATAGAGATTTAAACCCTAAGCCTTAAGAAATTGACTAATCACAGTTGCGTATTCTACCCATACTTGACCGCGGTTGGTCAATTTCTTAAGGCCTAGGGCTTAAATCATTTATTGTAGACTGGGACTTAGAGTTTGTTCTGTACACGCGCCGCGCCGTAATTCAAACTCCGTTTGGAAACACGCGAACCAACAGTACAAATGTTATAATCGACGAGTTTAAACGACGGCTCCACAATTAGCCCTCGCAGACGTTCTTTTGGAGACTGGGAGGCCGATGAAAGTCAAATGTCACTTGTCGCAGTTGCAATCACGCCGCTATATTGGTTCTGCGAACTAATCGCCTGGTCTTGAGGTTCATTCATTACTATTCGCTCATCGGTCCCGGTCGGATACCTCGGGGAATGTCTTTCGAATTACGTGTCGCAATCTCGGAACGGCGAAGGATTTCCCGTTGCTCGCCGACCTGGAATACGCGATGCCGTAGGAATGTTGTCCTTTCCTCGAATGTGTCTAATCTGTGGATCACCCACGCAGCGAATTAGTATTCCACGTTCGCTTTTAACAACTTTTATCCGTGATTCATGGAGAAATCTTTCGAAGTGGCGCTCGAGAATCCGATGCTTTAGCCCCGCGAATGTCGTCGGGATAGTTGATTCGTTAATTGTTGAAACGACACCGGAGAAACATCGAGATTCTTTTCCTAGGTGAACGCTTATTTGGCAATCGTCAGGAAATTGCTAGGAAATATTGACTGAACGAGTTTTATCGTCGTAAAGTTATACCGTATCCGTGCTCGCGGCATCCACAATGCCGCGATTGATTTCTCGCGTTTGAATTGTGCAAAATTACATAATCGAGAAAACATTGACGAAGTATAACGTCTAAGAGCAGGTCTATAAATCTATATAGAGTCACTTACGCAAATTAAATGAGCTTCTTTTAAAATTCAAATTAATTTGCCCCGCAGCACTTATGTGCTGTTTGCACCTTTATTATCCGTCGGATAAAAAATTCCATGTTGCGACAACGTGTATGCATCGCTAACAGCGACATTTCCACTTTTCTTCTTGTAGGTGAGATACACCGGTTATAGAGATCGGCCGCTCGAAGAACGTCAAGTACGCTTCCAAAATGGCTGTCGGGAAGGCCACACGGAGATCGCGTTCGCGGCGACGGGCACCAATCTCCAGCTTGTGTTCGGCAACGCGTCCGGGAGCTATCCCGTCGATCCCAACGACTGCGACTTCGACAAGGAACACGGCAAGGTAAGTGGGCAACGCTTTTCAGCAGTCGTCTCGATTATCGTGGACCTTATCCCGATACCATATCATCATCCACGACCGGTTTTTCAAACACTCGTCCTGATCATTACAACCTGAAACACCGTCCCTAGATACCACGTTGCGAAAACGTCTATAGAAATAAGTTGATTTAAAGAAATAGAACTTGCACCGCGCGAAAATCTACAGGGAAGCAATTTCTGAAACGCCCCGAACTTGTAAATCCGCGAATTTTGGAATGCACTAATTTTTACTGACGTCAACTACGGACATTGAACTGGTTTCACGCGTAATTTATAAATATTGCGGAATTACGCGAGCTGCGTGAAAAGGACCCTCGGACTCGCCTTTCAACGTGTGGCTTAGACCCTGACAGCTCGAATCTGAAAACGGTGGTCGCCGAATACAATTGTGCGGTCATAATTGGTTAGTACTACGGCCAAATTAGGGGCCGTTAAGCATAGACGCTAGGGAAAGTTTTCGGGTCAGTGATTTAGTATCCGGCGAAAATCCAACGAAATCCGGCAGCCACTTCTCGAACAATGGCACCGACGTAACAAATGTCACCCACGCACCCGGGTTTTCTAAGAAATCGGGGCCTCCCGTCGCGGGGTCCAGTTCGGTTTAGGCGTCGGGAAACTGTCCTAATTTATCTTGAGCCAGGAACGAACGATCCTTTATCTGAAGCTGGCTCGAAGATAAAAATTGCACAGAACGAATTAAACGCAACACGATGGATATGTAGCGCTACCAGAGCGAACGCGTGTTACAGACGCGTGTTACGCATACAAAGTCTCTCGAAAGTTTCGATTGTCTTCTTCATTTTAAGGACCGCATAGCTGGATGGGGACGTCGACTAGCAATTTTGTACGCCGACGCTGTGGCCGACGCCTCGGCGTCGCCATCGCGATCGATAGCCGCGTCGTCGCGACGCCATTTTGCAAAGTGCGCGCGCTGCTGTTTTCGCGAATATCCGGAGTCATCCCCGATTATTTATGTTGCTGTTTTCGTAATTTTGCAAGTCTACATTTTACCTTTGAAGAAACAGTCAGTTTGTTATTTTACATATTTTATGAGCTTGTATTTTTCTATACAGTATTGTAATACATTTTTTTAGACAAATTCCCCGATTCAATTTGGTTTTTCCTCACTTTTTTAATGGTTTTAATGGTCACTTTTCGAAACTTCTACACCTCTAGTTGTACAGACATGCAACTGGCATTAGGCATTGAATTAAAATTCTGTCAAAGTGACTTTAATTTCTGTTAAATTTGCAATGAAGCTTAATTATTTATCACAGAGATCGGCAAAACGAAATAAATCTCACACTTCGAAATCGACGATCGTCCTTCCGCGTCACTTTGTTGCAACTCATATAAACGACAGAAAACTAAAAGCCCGTGTTAGTGGGCACCAGTGACAATTAACGTGTTAGAAATCCGTTAAACGCCGCCAGATGCCTCAAAGCTGCCACCGCCAGCCACACGGTATAATGGCTCGTAAATCTCCCTGGTTTCTCGCAATGGTCAAACGGAAAGTCCTAATAACCTCCTGAATTTCGATGCCCCCATTTTTTTCCAGATTTTTTAGGTCACCGACGTTTCCAAATATTTCTTTCACACAGTTTCTCCATGGAAATAAGATTTCGTCGAGTTCGATCTTCCTAAAAATTAATTCCCGTAGAATATAATCTCTGTCATCTCCGCAATTTTCAGTTTCTCAAAATTTTGCAAACTATATATCAACTGATCTCTTTCGCGAGATCGTATCTCGAGTTTCCCGTCCAGAATAACCATTTTGCGCGACTTTGCGAAAGCGAAATTAGCTGAATTTAACTGAAAGATCGTCGCAGTATCGAAGGTGCCTCGTGTTGAATATCCCGTTTGAGAAAGCGTAACCGATATCTTCGATTGTCATATATCTGTGTCGTTTGTCACTACATTCGTTATGGCTCCCGAAATTCTGCCCGGCGTCTCTACGGCCTCTTTCGTGCCGGGGTCTCCTTTTGCAAAAGGGACGACGTGGAACGGAAGCGATTCATTAGATCCTGCGCACGGAGCGCTGTGTTTACGGGACGACCCGCGGCCTCCTTTTTGTTTTAATCGACAATGAGCGAGGGAATAAAGAGCGGCGCGCGACCACACGTGCCCGCGTGCATTGTGCCCACCGACGTGCCCCGTCGGGCGATGTAATAATTAAGGGAGAGATTTTATTCGCGATCGAGATAAACGCGCGATAGAGCGAGCGCGCGTGCGGCGCCCGATAATAACCAAGCTTTTAAACCCTTTGCCCATCGAGCGGAAAAAAAGGAGGCAAAGGGCGCGGACATTCGCGCAATAATAAAGCTACGGAGATAGTAATCTTTGCGTTCAATTACGAACGAAATATTAACGGGAGGAAAATTTCGATGGCACTTGCGAGGGGTGTGCTGAAAAAAATGACGAAAAGGGATTTTCACAGAATCTCGAGAACTCGAAGGATCTTTCGGGGACTTTGTACGTTCTGAGATTAGACTGGCGCAGCAATTGTACCCTCCGAGTCGTAACGGGCCCTTCTTCGCCCAGATACTGCCTTAATTACAGAATTTATAGTTTGAAAACGATCCCGAAGGCACACGCATACATACACACGCGCACGCATCCTGTGCAGATCCTGCTCGTAAAAGTTGGACCGTATAGAACTGGACCCGGACGTGAGACAAAGGTGGATGCGCCACACTGACCGTGTGCCCCTCGCAAGCCGTCCTTTTTACCGTTGACGAATGTCTCGGGGTTGTTCACGGACCTCGGCGTACTGGACCCGGGCGCAAAAAGACGCCGTTCGGGCGACGCCCATCGGGAGGCAAAAAAGGATTGGCGAAATAGCCGGCCGTTTGTTTCGGGGGCATTTAAGTATCCTTCGCCCGCCCTTGCCGCCGATTTCTCACCCCTTTTCCCGCAGCGCGCCGCTCGTCTCTCTTACCGTTTTTCTTTCACCGCACTCTCGTTTTTTTTCCTCCGCTAATGCAAATGAGAAAGGGTTAGCAGCGCGGCGACGCGCTACAGTTTAAATAATCGCCTATTATAACGACCATTATGCGACGATAATGATTGTCACGCCCGTGCGCGCGGAAGGAGAAAAACAAATGTTTCCAACTGTTCTTTCCTCGTGAGAACGAGGAAGGCGACGGCGATGACTAATGACGATGTGTCGTCCACTCCTCTCCTCGCCGAGTCTCGTCGTGGCGGCTTTTTGCGCGTCTCGTTGCCGCGCGGAATATACATGTCCCGCCGATTCGTTCCGCGATGAGATACGAGGCGAAGATATCGCCGCAATTAATTACGAGAGCGAGCACGCAAAGTGCCGTTGCTCCGATCTGAAACGATAAGCGCGCGCGATCTTCAAGGTAACAATTGCACGTCTTTTTCCGCCGATTAACCGCTCGATGAACGCTCGTGAGCCCCGAGTCGAAATTTTGGTACTACTTTGACACTTTTAAGGATAATTTACACCTTAGCTGATCTATACACCTACATAGACCAGCAATAATCTAGTTTGATGATTTTTTTACTCCTCCTTTGAATCTTTAATTCTAAAACTTTACTTGATCTCTTACTTAAAAGAGCCACTTAAATGCTAAATTGGTAAAAGTAGAAATTTCCGACACTATCAGTTTTTAAGTAGGAGTAAATTTTGTACTTGCAGTTCGGCCTCTTTATCTACTGTCTTAGGTTCTACTATATAACAGAATAGAAATTTAAGGGTTAAACATGGGGCGATGATTTCGACTCGGGAGAGTTTTTAAATCACGTGTTTCTTTCAAATTTTCTACGTAATGTAATTTTATTACGACCAATAAGTTTACGAGTCTCGCTACTGGAAATATAAAATTACGGTCTCACTTGGAAACAATAAAACCTAAGTAGAAGACGTTCTCACGAGGAAATGGCAAAGGACACGTGTGTTATGAATATTCTTGCGTCGTGAGCAAGACGTATTTTCCTGCTTGCGTTTCATACTTATGTTAATATGCGTACCGCGTAAGATTTAACGCATAATGAGCCCGTTTCGCCTTATCTGCAGGCGCATTAATATGCATAAGATATTGCGCGAAAGAGGAACTTTCTGCCTCGTGCAGGAACTGCTCTTATCGCCTCGCGTTTGCCGCGAGATAAGAAGGCCTTCCTTGAGATTCAATCGGGATGTAGAGGCGCGCAAGAAAATCGGCATTGAGTGCAAACCAATTTGCTGTAAATTGTTTCACTCCTAAATATCTCAACACAAAAGCTTGATTATTGTTATTTGTTACTGGCAACTTAAAGAGATTTCTATATCTGAACACAATTGTTCTGCACGCGATAGAAAAACCGAGTTTTTCGAAAGACGGAAACCTGGGACCCGCGTCCTTTGACAGCAGTGGCCGCGAGCGGATTCGATTGCGGAAAAACGTTTAAGACCCCGCGTGGTCGCACCCCGCGGCTCGATTATTACTGCATAAAAATACACCCCGCGGCGCATTGTCGGCGACGCAGCTGTAAGCGCTGTGCGAAAGAATGTAACGAGACGTAACGTCGATTTACCACCGCCGGGGCATTCGTTCGTTCGTTCGTTCGCGCGCGTGAATTAATTGCATTATAAACAGATCTAGCTGCGTGCGAACGACAATTCGGCATTCTAGTAACTTGAGAGAAAAAAAACGTGATAATATAACAAAATATAACCATTTATCGACGCTATAAATATTGAATTACATGTTTAAAACTTGATTGTGAAATTGGGAACGAGATACTGCACACAAAGTCCAGGTCGTTTCGATCTTTGACTCATTTCGTTGATTGCGTGTCGCCGTTTGTTACGTCGGGATCACACAAACACGGTCTCGACTGGTTTTCCCCGAGCGTTCTTGACCTCGTAATAATATCTGGGCTCCCCGGTGGGAGCCCAGACCGGAAGTCGGGTCGTTTGCCAGAAAATAAAATAACACCGTGTTGCATCGTCGGCGCCGAACCCGGTAATCGTTAGCTTTTTCGAGAGCCTCCCATTAGACTTTACTCGGAAAACACCGCCTAGCAATATTCCGGGATTAATTGGTAGACATAAAGAAAGCCGGGAAAATGACGCAGATAGAAGACGTCCAGTAGATCGAAATTATATTTTTACAATTTTTCCCTCTTTCTTTCTCTGCATCCACCTAACAAGTGAATCGGACACCTTTTGTATTTTGGCTAAGTTATAAAATTATATGATTCCTAATTTTCAAGGATTTACTTATCACGTTTTACATATTTTTCATGCTGCGACAGTAAGAGATTAGTCACGGCGAAGCGTTAAATAAAATTTCTCTGATATTGTAGACATCTCAAGATACATCGCGCACGACTGATGGGTTAACGCAATTTTTTTAATCCATAAAGATCGCGACGAGTCGAAATACGCGAGTCGTGATAAGAGTACGCGCGGTGAGTTTTCACGGCGAGGATTGTGCAAACGCTATATCGGCATGAAAGTTACTCTTGCTCGTAATTGACTTCTTACGATCAACGTAGTTGATCTCGCCTCTCTCCATCTCATTTCTCCCATCATTTCGAGATAGACCGCGAGGCCTCCCCGTACCTTCCAATCTACGTAATCGTTCTCCGGAAATAAGGAACGTTCGCCGTTGTCGAACACAGAGGAGAAAGGGTCCGAAGGGGGGGACGAAAGAACGGGGGGGGGGGAGGAAGGGGCGCGTGATTGAAACTTGCTGGTCGTGGCACGTAATGGAGCCCTTCTACAACCCACGCCGACGGATTTTGCAAAAAGGAAGATCGAAAAAGTTGCCGCGAGCGAAACGAGATGACGGTTTTGAGAGGAGCCCGACGTGCCTCGTCATTTTCTCCCGTGGATTTCAAGGAAGAGCGTTCAAATTAACAAAATAACGTTCCGTCACGACGAGAATACTGAAAATATCAATATCGTTTTGATCGCCGTTAATCTATAATCGCTCATTTATCAATACTGGAGAAGAGAATTGAAATTCATTAGCTCTTAGAGGTGACGTCATTGAAACAGCTACTAATTATTTTAATTAGCACCAATATTCCCCGAAACAGTGAGTCGCTGATCAAACGTTAATAACATAATTGTTAAAAATAATGTTTGAAATTACTACTTTTAATGAAATAACAATTTCGATGATGAGATAGAGGAATCGAACTATTCAGCCCTTTTAAACTTTCAAGTCTTTTCGATCCTGACTTTATCGGTCGAATAACATTTGGAGAGAAGAGAACAAATCTATTAATGACTCGTGCTGTGTCATAACGAATAAAATGTTATCGTTACGCGAGACACATCATCAGATATGCCACCGATTTCTTTCTTGGAAACTGAGGGAATTATTAATTCGCTACCTATTTCAATACTGGAAAACACATCTCGCTCCTACTCCCACGCAACTGATCCTGCACGCAACAAAACTGTTCAACGCAAAGCAAATTTCACCTCAAGACTCCAAAGTCCGCAAGTCTCTCCACCGATCCCGAGACCATCCCGACCGCCCGTCAAAATCCACGATATCGACGTCCGATGTCCCGCTGACATCAGCAACGAGCACCGTAACGACTGCGTTCCGCCCCGACGGCGATGTTCCAGGTACACTTACGCTCGCACTTGATCATGAACGGAGTGTGCGTGAGGTGGCGAGGCTGGATTGACCTGGACCGGCTGGACGGCGTCGGCTGTCTCGAGTACGACGAGGAGCACGCCGCCGAGGAGGACGCGCTCCTGCGCGACCAGCTCGAGCGTTACAACCAGCGGCTGCGCGACTTCGAGGAGAAGCAACGTACCTACCGGGGTGGCCCGGCGTCGGCGCAGCCGCCTCATCTCAATCATCACTATCACCACGACACGCACCACGCGACCAGCCACCACCATCACCATCACGGCCACCACAGCCGGCACGTGGGCGGCGCGGGTGCCACGGGTGCCACCGCGACCGGCATCGAGCCCCACTTGCCACATCGCCAGGATCCCGAGATGGAGGTGCGACTACGGGCCTACTGAGGCTTGCGTAGACTCTCCGACTGTCCCCGATGATGGTAAACGACGACGAGTCCCCTTTCGGTCTCTCGAGGGTGACGCCCGTCGTGCCCCAGCGCGAAACGGAATTTACGGCCCGACGAGGAACGATACCGATGCCCGGCCTGTTCTGCGACGTCAACGAGCGTGTTCGCGTGCCGTCTGATCTCTAACGAAAAAATTACTAGTCAAATTTGAGTGATATGTAATTATTAAAAGTAATTTTCGTTATAGCTCTGGCTGTTAATCGGCGCCTTCGCGGATCTGCACGCTCGGTGGAAATGTCCATTTCGCTGCCCAGCTTACTTAAAATACCCCGGCTATAGCCGGATTTTGTGATACGCGAGCTTTGCTCTGAGGAGCTAGCGGGTCCTCGGGAGATTTTTAAAAAGCCATATGGCGTTTCCTTCTTTCTTGGTACCGTAGACTCGCGTTTTACAGCGTGCTTTTAACGACGGTGACACAACGATAACCGGTCTTCATTCAAATCCGCGATTATAATTTTAAGTATATTTTTGTAGAGACGCGCGTCCCACGGAGGGCAAAGCGGGGTTTCTGCCGTCGAACGATCGGTTGATGAAATCGATGTTTACGGCGTCCCGTCTTGCGCAAAAGGAAAGCTACTCAACACCACGTGGGGAGTTATGGGATGTTCCGTAAATAAATAATATCGGATAAATAATATTGGCTCGCGTGGACTCGAGAGTTTTCAACGACAGATATTATTTATTTAATCGTTCGATTTTGGTGAATTTCTCGCAAAACGTTCGATCAGGCTCACGTAATTATTTTGTCTCGACGGACGTTGCTCCGTTTGTGTAATTAATCGAACTTCAGGGAAGTTGTTGGCGAAGCTGTATGTAAATATACTTAAAGTTGACCCACAGTTATAAAAAAAAAGCAATTGTTATATATAATTATAAAAGTTTTGTGTATAATATATTTAACGATTCGAGTCCGATGCTTTCCGACATTTTATCGCGGTTTTTCCTCACGGGAAAATAACTTTTTCGACTTGTGCGTCATTTAGCGCTTTCAAATACGCGCGATGAAGGCCGGGATCGACCCTGACCTTACCATTACTAATCATCCGCGCAATCTTTCCGTTTACATCGTTGATATCCGAGTACGACTTTTCCTCACAGGTGTCGAATGTTTCCACGCATGTCAGGTACCAAAATGAAGGAGGCCGTTTCACGAAGACGTTACATCATTTTATCATTAAAATGATAAAATAATGCGCGTCTGACCTGCCAAATAAGCGTTCGAAAATTAAGGCGCTCGTAGCGCGTACATTTTACGCTTTAACCCTGCAAATTTTCAGGCCGCGTGACTGAACCAAGCACCGATCTTAAACAGCATTATATTGAGATACAATTTAACGTAATTTTTACAATATATTCCGTCATGGAGCAACAATAATTGATTAGCTCCGTCGCAGAACAGGCACTTTTATATCAGACAGCGTGATTTGGCGTACATCTTTGAGAACGCGTTTTACCCGCGATGCTTCCTTTTATTAATTATCTTAACACCTCTGAGCATTTTAAAAGAAATATACACTTCTGCGAATATAAAAAATTTATGCATCTACGAATCTATCTTCTCTTCCAAATACGTGCGATCCTCTCTCTAATTTAGTAATTCAATTGACGTTGTCGAGCCTCGTAATTTTTCATGGAATAAATCTTTTATATAGAAGTAATGTCTCGTGACTACTGAACAGAGGAAAGAGAGAATCGGTTTCCAAATTTTACGTGAAAGGTATCGTGTCTTGAATCGTCTTCCGCTGTCGCGAGAAAGGGCCGTCGCGAGTTTCGCGACGCATCTCGCAGAGGCACAATGGCCGTAACGATTGTATCATCGAGTGTACGACGGCTCGCCGGTGATGGAATACGTGAATCACGATGATTCCCGGCGTTCGGCTAACGAGCACGATGAATCATCTGTCGATCGTTGCGTCTGCTTGCGTTTCACGTTTAAGTTGAACACGCGATCGTCGTGAGGAGGAAACTTTTTGTTACATTGTACATATTTGTAAAGAGTTTATAAATTAAAGATATCATTTGCGTCGTATTCTCCGCCTGTTTCGACCTGTCCCCCCGCTCACACCGAAATATTCTTGTGTAATCGTGACGAGTGTATTAAGATTATTGAATGGTACGTATAGTTTATGCGCAATTCCCCCTCGGTTACATTATTAGATGTTAATTTACCCGTCGGATCTTGTCGCATTAATGGATACGGAGTAATCGCCATAATTCTAATCATTCCATTATTCTAGGAATTCGCACTATGTATTATTAGTAATACAAATAATACCAAGAAGATTTCTAAAAGACCAGTACCGTTTAATCTATTCCCGTATTTTTCTCTCAATATTTCTCACAGGGAAATGAACATTTCCTAGAGCGCTCGTTCGAAGGAATGTAACGTCTAATTCACGCGAATCAATTTCTGAGAAATTCTATAACATACATACGATCAAACTGCCGCTGCAACGAATGACCAACGGTTTCTCTGACGAAGTCAAACTGTCAGGCAATGACCCATTAAAGCATGACACGACAGTTTCGCCGCGTCACCATTTTAGCCTGTCCCATTTTGTCGAAGATATCTGACCTTGACGTTTCAAAACTGACAGGCCTCTGCACCTTTTTACGGAAGTAGGACACATGGGAAGAATCGGCAGGGGCCCAAAAGAAAAGCATCTTCGCAACGGAATGAAACACTCCATGGGGCTATTAATCATCATCCCCTGTGGTCTACCTCGCAAGAGGTGTCCAAGGATGCTACTCGAGATACAACCGTGAAATTGGAAAGTCTCAAGTAAAAGGAACAAGCCCTTTTCTAGCTCCGAAATAGCAAAGTCATTGTTGTGTCTTTTACTCGAAGCGTTAACTGCAATACGAATGAAACAGCGGCCTCGGACGAAACGATCTTAACATCTCTTTTAACTACGATACTTTTGTAGAACGAACTTGCGTAATTGTCGTGAAAGAAACTATCAGCCGTTGTTGAGATCCGAAATTCTGAGGGCCCGTCAACTCGCGTACTCGCGTAAACTACGCGGTCGGTGTCGCGCGCGTGGTTTTAGTTTGTCGCTTATACTTGGCGCGAGACACTGCCGTGTCTCGTGATAATACATTTCACAGCCTCGTCGCTATTTATCAGTCTCGCATTAAAATGGAAATTCCTGAAACGCCGACACAAAGAATTGCATCGAGACTTATTCTTTCGAAACACTCGAAGCTTTGGACAAAAGCAACTGGTACCTATGGTCGGAAACTGTCTATAGAACAGGACGAACAATTGTCGAGAATTAATTTTGAGAATTCGAAGCGTGGATGCTGCTTGAAATGAGCAATTCGTGATTGCCGATCGCCCATGACGATTGAATCGCGACACGATTGAAACATACGACGGGGTCGTCGCCGTTAACGCATCCTAATCCTGCGCGTATTTGCGCAGCGCGAGGGCGGGAAAGGGATCCCTTCCGTCGTCCTTGCAGGAATAACGCCCGTGGGCGTTGAAGCGTGGCGCAATCCGGGATCATTATCCTGACCCCGGCAAATCGGATCTGCGAATCTCCCCGTCGAATCGGCTTTATTGTTTCAAACGACGCGGGATCGCTCGATAAACGGAGGAGACGCCGGACGGGAACACGTCGACTCGCGATTTAAGGACGAATAAAAACCGGTTCGACGGGAGAAACGAGACAGGGCTCTCTCTCTCTCTCTCTTTGCAGTTGCGCGAAACTCGGCGCAAGTGTAACACGATGACGCCGTGCATTCCGGCGCAAAGGAATTCTTATAAGAAGCCCTACGAAGGGTGACCCCTTCTTCCTCCCGTCTTCAGGACCTTCGACTCGTTCGTTGACAGTATCGAGTGACCCTGCGAAGGGAGTAACCTTTCGCGATTATTCGATGCGAAAGACTCGGGTGCGACGGCGCGAAGTTGATAATGAAAATCTCGCTCTCCCTCCAGTCGAGTTGACGGAGCGACGAGAGAGTTGAAGACCAGGACATTCAGGACGACCGCAATTCGAGAAAGAAAAATCCGAATCGCGCCCGATTGGAAGTAACCGTAGCGCTATTTTCAACACCCGCACTTGTTAATTGTTCCATTATATATTTTCTCGTAGAGTTGAATAATTCAGGACGCTTTGCGAAACCGTAAGATTTAACGGAGGATCTAGATCCTTTAGAGCATGAATAATATTTCCGACATTCGGACCCTTTGGTGTACCTACACGATAAACGTATTTTTATAGCGAGATAAAAATATCTCGCGGGCGTTGCTTAACGCATTAACAACAACTTTCTCACGTCTCGCGGGGCTTCGCGAAGGATTTTTATCGTTGGAGCCGCTACCGGCTTCCTGTGGTCTGCAGATAAAAGGGCTATCGCGCACCTATCGTTACGATGTACTAACACGAGTAACCGATTATTTTTTATTAAGTTGTCGAAAGTAACGACACAGGAACCACATGCGACAGATAAGACCGCCCTGATAATTCGGCCGTCTCTTTGCAATTCGTTTCAGAATAAACTTTCAGCCGAATTAAATTCAAACTTATTGAAATACGTATAAACTGAACGTAGCTAACGTCAATTCGAAACCATCTTTAAGCGATACTGACACAATTGGCTTCAAATGCGACATACGCACTTGTGTGTATAAGTCAGGGTTGGGTAGTGTCTAGTTAAAAAGTTAAATAATTGTAACTTAACTTAGTTACGGTATAAACTGTTAACTTTTAACTTAATTTAGTTATATTTTATCGGTAACTTTTAACTTTTAATTTACCTTTCTTAAAATTAGCCTTGCCATAAATAAAGGCGCCGCGAGACGCCGCGCGCCTGTCTATATTGGCAGTTCCTCTGTTCCAAAATTCAATCCCAGCACTAAAAATTTATACGTTGCGTGCACTATAGATCTTCAACGCTGACAGTGAATTTTGGAACACAGCCATTTAGTATATGGGACTTTGATCCTCGAACTCACGTGAATTTGTTTGCATATGAAACGGACCATATTCCGTGTTGTGCGATTGATTGTCCAAACGCTGGTCGTGAAATTCAAAGCAATTTACGTGATCGCGAGTTTCCAAAATTTTGTGTAGAGATGAAACAGATTTGACTTTGGCTTCTTAATTTCTTTTTATTATTAACTCAACTTTTAATTCAACTAATTTCATTATGGGTTAACTTGTATCTTAACTAAGTTAAATTTTCAAAGCTGTTTACTTTAACTCAGTTTTAAAAAAATAGGTAACTTACCCAACCCTGATATAAGTAGATACCGTTTATTATTATGATAATAATTAACGATAGTAGATATAATTAATTTTTATAATAATTCTTCATATTGGTATTTTATTTTCTTCTTTTTTGCGAAAGACGAAAAGGAAGATACCTGGAAAGCAATTGTCGCTTTGAAAGAAGTCGCCATCGCAATGAAACGGGAATCCGAAATTCGCGCGGTGGAAGGTGACAATCAGGCGTTTGGGCTCGTGTATCGCTTTGTACTTGCCGAAAACAGTCGTATTGTCCGCGGGGGGCGGGGGTTGAGAAACCGGTCACCCGCCGCGACAGGCCCTGCGGGCGATCGCCGCATCTGCCTTCGATTTATTCCCAATCGTAATTGATGACTCTCTCTCTCGCCCTTTTCGGAACTTCTGCGGGGCCCGACGAGAGAGGAGCCGACCGACTTTCGAGTGGACGAAGCGACCCCGTCGTTGTTGTGATTTTGCATAATGGGGAGGGCACAGAGTCGCGCTTACGGCGATAATTTATGGCGACACCGATCGGGCCCGTTCATCGAACTGTGATAATCGAGTGTGTCATCGATACGGGACTTTGAAGAATAATCTTGCCCCGAAAGACACATCTACAAATGTCACGCGTATCTCGTAAAAGAGAATCGCAATTAAAGACTATCTTCCTTTTTGTGTTTCGCGAAAAAGGCGGGACGTAAAGTACCGATATAAAAAATTGTCTAGTTAAATAAAAATCTTTTTGTATAAGTGTATATATATACAATATATAAATTATAGATAATATCGTCGCTGTAACATTATAGTGGCTATATTTTGAAAACTAATTGTCGCGAAATGTTGGGTTCATTAAAAAATTTCTTTATATAAGAGAATGTTATACGCGATGGAATGTATGAAAAGGGCATATGTTACGAAAGATAACAGATTACTCGAGCTTCAGTGCGATACAATGCGACAGAATTTACCGTCGTCCCGTTCGTACGACACGAAAGACTCTAATTTCTCGTTTCACAGAAGCACGCGTCGCTCGATAAATTACGCTTCTGAGCACGAAGAGGAAAACATTTTTGCTCTTCCCTCCATTCTTCATGCTCTCGCGCGCATCGCTCTCTCCACGTTACGCTACGTATAAACGTCGTCCGTGTTTTGACAGAACAAGTCGAGAATAGAGGCCCGCATCTGCTGTCGATTCTGTTTTCTCTCCACTCCACGACTCGGTCTCATTGTAGGATCCTGAAGGATCGCCTTCGAGGAGAGTTCATTGGGGGACTTGGAGTGGAATTTGATCTCTTTGCCGGCAAAAGAGCAGATAGAAAAAGAGAGCGGGAGAGAAACAGAAAGGACGAAAGGGAAAGAAGGTCACAGGAGTGCGATCCTTCACGTGGAGGACGCGCATCAGACGTACATCCGTAATCCTCTAATGATACAAAACGCAGGTGCCAGATTACGCGAGTGCGTCCTTTCCTGCTCTATTGGAGTAGAAAGGGGCACAAACGCAGGACAGAATTTCAAGTCATCCATAAGTAATTTTCTTCTTTCCATTATGTTGAGGGGGTAAATTTTATTCAATTATATATTTACTCTTATTTTGTACAGTTCCCTTCTTTTTGTACAACTCCTAACTTTCAATTTCATCTCTTCTTCTTCTTCCTCCTCGTGTATTAGGCTTAAAGCCTGTTTTAGCCAATTCTCGTTCTGATACTTGGAGCATTTGGTTTAACTTCATCTTCGGCAGGCTGCTAACCCTTGCCGAAGAAAACCTCTCATCTGGAGGGCTCTACCCCTAAAGGGGTAT